TAGTTTGTTGTTTCTCTTCATCTTCCCAATAGCTGGAACTGTAAAACACCAACGAACATTCTCCTTGTGAATAGTCAAATCGATACCTGTAATTTTTTCAATAATCTTTCGAATATAAACCAAGTAATCAGCAATAACTTCGACAAGATCAAATTCCCTACCAGTTACTTCATTTCTTAAAATACCATCTGGATTAGTTTTCTTTTGTAATTGCATCTTGAAATACTTGAACAAGGTATATTGAGAAATGTCACATGAAGGGTGGTAGATCAGTTCGCTGTACTCCTTTGGGGCATTGTAACCAAAGCTAATTGGTTCACCATCTGGATTATATAATATCTGGGTTAGATTCTTATCGTATGGAACAGCTGCTCCGTCCCAATTCTTGTAGGTTTTAATGTCAGATTTCACATCTTCACCATGGTTAATGTAGGCGAAACCAGAGCGAGAAGTACCAAAGTCAACAGCTATGGTAATAGTACGGGCTATGTGTACCATTGAGTTGTTTTTTTCTTTGTTTTACACTTTGACATCACGTTTGTTTTTGAGACTTGGGAGAAGACATATGATAAGTGACAGTTGGGAATTGCAACAACTTGTCAAATCTATTATTAAAAAAATGTGGAAACAGATGGCAAAAGCTTGGAGCCTTTTTCAAAACGAGATGGAAAATCCCAACACTCAACTAATCATCAAGTACCTAAAAACAAGAAACCAAACTCCAGCAAATGTTTCATGTTTTTGCGAGAGTAGTGAAAATAATTCAGAATTAAAATTTCTAATTTTGTTGGATGAACAATTGTGTTCGGAAGGGTTAGCAATAATTGAAACAAGCTCTTTGGATTCTGATCAATTGCAACAGTGCTCAGCTGATAGTCTTGTAAAATCTATCAAGATTCGAATGGAACAACAAGAAGAAATGATAAAGAAGAAAGATGAAGAAATTGAACTATTACGAAAAAAAGAATTGGAACTTTTGGCTTGGTTGGATTCACTCACGCAACAAAAAGAATTATCTGAAAATCTAATTTCGAAAGGATTAGTTTCAAATTCGAATGTGGAATTGATACTAGATAGGGCATCGAGAGAGATCAGTAACATTCAGAATGATGTTGTAAATTACTTATTATCAATTCCTAATATTAGCGAAGAAACTTGTTCTCTTATTGAGAAGAGTTTGTGTATGTCAATATGTTCTGCATTTTCACAAGCTCAGAATGATTCGTTAACTTTAGTCTCCTTTGCAGAACAAAAGTTAATCCAATTGATCAATACTAATAATATTCACAAAATGGTTCCAGAAAAACACTTACATGAACTTCGAGTATTTATGAATGGTATTATTGAGAGAATTCACAATCTCGAGCTTGGATATAACATTCGTCTAGAATGGTTCGAAAAGTCAACTAAACACAATCATTTAATCGATGGTTCTGTAACTATCGGTTCTGGCACACAAATTGAAAAGGTAGAATTCTTTTGTTTATTTCCAACCCTTTATTTTGGAGAGAATGTACACGTGAAAGGAAGAGTTCTAGAAGTAAAGTATTTACACTAAGTTTTATTAGAAACAAATTATTTGTAAATTACAATTCTCTTGTTTCCTGAATCGTTTACATACAATTCACCTGTTTCTTCATTGATACATAAACTCTTTGGATGATGGACCTGCCCTGCCAATATATTCACCCTGTTTCCAATAGCATTGAATATTTGAATACTATTCTCAATCACATCTGAAACTATAATGTTTTTTGTATAATTGTCATATACAATACCTCCAACTTGTTTAAATTTGGTTGGCAAACATCTTGTCTCAATAGTTTTAGTTTCAGAACTTTCCAATAACACTCTAACATTATTCGACATAGTTTCTGATATTACCAATTCAGAGCTCTCTCTATCAATGTCAATCCAATTAGGATGAAACATTGACATCTTATCAGTAGAGTTAATTCCACCAATTCTCTTTAAAATCTTTCCATCAGAGCTTCTCAAAATATGAATACAATTGAAAGAGGTATCACAAACGAAAACAACATTTTCTACTTTTTTCTCTGTGTGTGGTGAGTGGAGAATTGTTAGTGCTGCTAGTTTAGCGTTCTTGACTGCAAAACGAGAGGTGATTTCCAACTTTTTGCTCCATAGATAGTTCTTGTCGGTGCCATTGAGAACTAGTTTGGAAATATCGAACTTGAGGACCTTTTCTTCAGTGGACAAGATGATGGCATCGTTTCGTCCATCAAAATTTCTCTCAATAGCTATTCCATTAATGTTGTCGAAAAAGGAAATGTTCTTCTTTAACTCTTTGGTATTTAAATCAAAGAAAAGCAATTGATTTTTGCCATTATTACTATTGCTAACAATAATGTATTTGTTCTTGTATGAAATCTTAACATCTGAAACGTTACTAAATAAGGAACTGGTAATTTCTTGAACAAATGTAAAGTCACCCTGAAAAGGAAAAGATTCAATTTCACAAGATTTTCTGAATGATTGAACTTTCAAAGGTTGAATTACTTGAGGTTCCTGTTTTTCTAATCTTGTATTGTAACCATTTTCATTCAATAAACCATTTGTTAACAAGTTGACTGTTTGGTGTGTAGCAGGTGGGTGAGTATTACTACTTGGCATTATGTCTGAAGAGCTACAAACAATTGGAAGATTGAATTCATCGTGCATGATTACATCACTATCTGAATCTTGTCTAATGTCTTGCAGGGTTGTTTCGAATTGCTGAGCTTTTTGTTGAGTTTCAAAATCCAAATTCTGGGAGATGAGCATTGATATAGAGGATGAATTGATTGTTGGTTTAACATATTTGAAAAGCTCTTGATCTGTTTTAGGAGTATTGATTTGATTTTCTTGACCTATTGTCAAATACTTTTCACCAAAATGTTCAATAAAATAAACTCTCATTTCATCGTTGCTCTTAATAAACATGACTATATTTTTTCTTCTATTGATGAATTCACCTAACGATTTGGGCAATGTGAACCCTGATTCTGATAAGAATTTCATACGGGAGAGTAATCTTACTAAATTTGTTGCTTGCTGTTCTTGTGACAACTTGTCATTGTCAATTCCATATCTTTCGAAGCATTCAATGAAAACACTAATGGAATCTCTAAATACACCTTTAGTTTCAATAACCCAATATGAGAAATCAGCAAGTAATTGACTAACTTTTTCGTCTAATTTTTCACATAGACATTGAATACACTTCTTTTGCTCTGTCCCTGCTCGATTCACAGAAATTGGAGTTGTAATCTTATCAGCCCAATGAATATCATTTTCGTCTGACTTTTCAATTTCCATTGATTTGGCCAATTCAATAATATATGACATGCTTCTATTCGAAATCATTTTAAGAACTTTTGATGGAAGAGATGTAATTATATCAATAATTAATTCTCTCTCTGTTGAATCTTTGGATTTTTTCAACATGTTGATCAATAAATCAAAGTTTCCACTTCCCTAATTATTGAATTAATGAATTTAACCTTCTACATGAAACTTACCTGAAGCGGCTCTTCAATCATTGATTCGAATTGTTTCTTCAAGTCTAAAAGTTTAGACAAACTCTCTGGTTCTTCCAAAATCGATTTAAATTTAGATCTTTCCATAAAACTTCTTTTCAAATGCAACAAGACAATAACACTGCTACAAACAACATTATTTGGATCTGAGACTTTCAAAAAGCTTTTCAAAATGTAAAGAACTTGAAATTTACAATTTCCAGAGAGCAAATTTTCCAAATCTTCTCCTTTTGAAAACCATTGAAGAATGACATGTAGAGCAAATTCTCTAATGATCAAACTTGTCATTCCTTCAGAATTGGTCAATTGAACCAAGTTTGAATGGAGAGAATTTAAGAGTTCTTCCAAGTGTGCTGGTTGAACGTTGTCATGGGTTGATTTGGTGAATGCTACGATGGACTTGTGGAGTGTATCAGCAATGTACATTTTTTTGAAAGGTGAATTAATAGTTGTAACGTGATGACATGCAAAATATGACTCTTAGACATTTGACGTATTTGACAATTCCCAAGCAATAAAAAATGGGACAGAAAGCTACTACCTCTGATACTGCCAAGAAAAATATTACTCCAGAGGAAGAAATAAAGCAAGAGTTGCAACTTCTTTGCAATGTACAATATCTAGTTCCAGATAAACAAACTTATTTTTCATCCATTGTTCTAAATGAAGGTTATTCGATTGTAAAGAGAGATACACTATTAGATATTCTAAAGGAAACTAGTGATCTGCTTGAGAAATCAACAACCAACAGTGAACCTTTCGTAAGGATTTCCTATCAAGGATCTGGCTCCATCACTATTACCAATGAAATTAAAGAGAAGTTTAAAAGTGTTACATTAGACAATGAGAATATCACAAAGGCAGTTGATAAAATTATTGAGAAACTAAATATCAAAGTTAGCTCTTCTGATGGCCTTGTTGAAAAGGTAAATTTGATTGACAATTTTATGTCAAAATTGGTTGATGAATTGAAGCAGCAAAAGAATGAAAACGAGTCGTTAGAAATCAGATTCAGCACACTAACAAAAGAGCTAGCTCAAACTCATACAGAATTAGAGAAGGTGAGAAGAGAACTAAACCAAGAGAATCAATCAAGAATGAAAGCTGAGATTGAAATCAAAGAAAAAGATGAAAGAATTCAAGAATTGATAAAAGAGAAAGAAGCAGCTATTCTCAATCTCCAAACATTACAAAGATCAATGGAACTTCTCAACTCTGGTGAGGTCATCAACAGTCAAGCTCAAGAAGTTGTAGAGAAATGTACAAAATTGATAACCAATATTGATTCAAAATGTTTTGATTTCATAATGGAAACTGGACTTCCTGAAATCTATGAAAAGTATCTTTACTACCTTTCCAATACAATTTTCCAATGCTTATTTGAAAATCCAACTATTGAAAAGAAGGAACTGTTTGAAATCTCTTGGAACAAATTCCTAAACTCTGCAGAAAACGATGAATGCAAGAACATGCTCCTCACTGGAGAATCCATCTTTTCTGAAATTGTTTCAATGGCCAAAGATTTGGAACAAGCAACACAATCATTGCGATTCCCAAAGATTTCTCTTCTTTGGATTGGAATTGATGGTGAAATCTATTCCTCCAAAAGCTTCAAACTTATCGGTTATGTAGATTATGTTGATGTTAAAGAGATCTCAGAAGAGAATTCCAGTCAACCTGAAGAGGAGATTGTTTCAGTGCTTCCTGCTTTAGTTCTTGGAGAAAATAAGAAGGCTGAGCTGATTGGAACAGCATTCAAGAGAATCAAGAGAATGAAAAAATAAATTGGGTAATGTAATAATACAATTAGTTTACATCATTCTATTATTGATACTTGGTGAGCTTTAAAACGTAACCTTTTTCTATCAAACTCTCTCCATGATAAAGAGAAGGGAATAAGCAATAATATTCGGTAGCTACAGGTTGTCCAGTTCCTTGTGTCATCTCTTCCACATGCATAGTTCTGATATCACTTGAAAAATCAAATCTAATATTGAGATTCTTTGGTATTTGATGGATAAGAGAGAACATACTTTGAAGAGAAACCTTGAATTCCGTAAAAATTGTTTCTGTTTGCTCTGTTTTTAAACCAGGCAATGATTCACTCATGTAGGTAATTAGCTTTCTGAAAGCACAATCAACAACAGACTCAAATGAATCGAAAGCACAATAAAAAGCATGTGAGAAAGAGATCTTCATAAACTTTTCCAATAGAATTCCTTGGGAATCTTCAATACCTGCACCAAGTACAGTATTGATAATTTTGTCATTAATTTCTGAAAGCCCCCTCTTAGCCATATCAATAATCTGATCTGTTTTGGTATTAGAAACCACGCCTAAATCTAAGAGTCTTTGAGAATTCTCCTTTTGTTCAACGAGCAATGAGAGATTTGAGATTTTTTGATTTTGATCTGCATTAATTTGTAATTGAATAGCATTTTCTTCTTTGAGTTTTGTCATTTGTTGTTTCAAATTTGCAATTTCTAAGGACAGTGCCCCATTCTTCTCCTCCTCTGCAGTAAGTTTTTTCTTGAGCTCTTCATTCTCAGCATTAATATTGTTATTGGAGCTGAAGTTCTTGAACCTCTCAAAGATTTGTTCCATACTGGTCTTTACCTCCTCACTAATAACTTTTCTAAAATCATCAATTGAAACAGGCTTCGGATCATTATTGGTACTTGGTTGATTTGAGTTAAAAGCAGAGTAGTTACTATTACTGTAGGTTGGAGTTCTGGTTGTATTAGCATTGGTTTTTGGAGTGCTAGTTGCAGAGCTAGCAATGGTTGAACGGGAAGAAGTTGAATTATTGACCTGAGAGCCAACACTTGTTTGAGTTTTTCCTGAATTGTCCTCTACGGCTTCAAAGAAATTAGTATTACATTGTAAGAATTTGAAAACAGTGTGAGCAGTCTGGCTTTTATCCTCTGCAATCTTATCTGCCAAAGTGGGATAATTCGAAAGGACTTGCTGATTTTTGGAAAAAGAAGTTAGAGGAATACTTCTGCTCAGCATTTCTGTAATGTTGTCCATCAACTTTTTGTACTCACAATCAAAATACTTTTTGCTGATTGAATTTAATTGCTCCTTTGGTGAATCAGGATCAATGAATCTGGAGATGTTGCTCTTAAATAGCTCGAAAGCTTCATCATGAAAACAACAGTTTTGTTTTCCATTCTCTTTCAATATGTCAGCAAGAATTAAGTAATTGGAAACATGTACATCATCTTTAATTGTACTAGAGATCGATGATTTGCTATACTTTTGAACTGTATTCGTAATGTTTTGAACAACAAAGTAAAATGGAGAACAAAAACCAAATTTTGATCCAAAGTATTTCTGACAAAGAGCATCATCAGTTAAAGACATTTTTAATTCGTGAATTTTTGTTTATTTTGACGACTTTTCAACGTGACGACCATCAACCACAACAACACGTTTGTTGTCCGTGTCAATTACAACTGCTGGCACAATGCAGACTTTGTCAGATGATGATGACCAGTCACGTTTGAATTTTGGGACAGTTGATTTCTCGCAAATGTCAACAATCCTGCAACTTGACTTGACGAGTTGTTGGAAGATTGATTGGAATGGTGCATCATTCTTCATCTTAGCTTGCAGATGTGGGTTGTTGTTAAGAGCACTTGCGAATTCTTGCCATGCTTTTGTATAACTTTTGGCAAGAATAGCTTCACTCAATTCCTCTTCTGATAGTTGACTGCTTTTGTTGATCACTGTTGAAAGAACCATTTCTACCCACTTAGAGGTTTCATCATCTTCATTGAGATTAACTATGAGATCAAACACCAAATTATTAGCATTATCTGTAAGACGACTCATCTCTGAAACTAACTCCTCTGTCTTGGAATCTGATACTTGAAAATCCTTTCTATTCTTCAATGAAAGAATTTCCATATCCTTACTTCTAATAGATTCCAAACATTGAATTTCATTTTCTAAAATCCTCTTGTTTTCTTGTGTTAACTTCTCGTTTTCTGTTTGGATTTGGTTTACTTTTTCCATAACAGATTTCGCTTGTTCCTTCAAAGTGGAGTTTTCTTTTTCCAACGCAACATTCTTTTGTTCGGCTTGGTTCAATCTCTTTAACTTGGTTTCATTATCTTGTATTTCTTTCATGTGAGTAGCTGCCTCTTTCTTCAATTTTTCATTTTCTGCTTTGATTTGACACAATTTTTCCAATTCCTTTGCAGATTTTTCCAAATTAATGGAAGATGCATTAACAATCTTTGAGGATTGTTCCAATTTCTGGTTATAAGAACCAAATAAAGTCATCATTTTTTCTAAAGAGGATGCTGTCTTAGCCATATCTTCATAAAAATTCTTTTGCTGATCATTGGAAACAACATTTAAAGGACCAATGGAAGGAGAATTAATTGAAACTGGAGAAACGACTGTTGTGTCGGATGAGTTTGCATCACTTGCAGAGCTACTCAGATCATAAATTGGTTGGGAAGATGGTTCGGTCTTGTTTTTCTTGTTTGGTGGTTCTTGTTGTTGGTGTTGTTGTTTTGCTTGATTGTTCTTTTTCTTATTATGTTTGCCCATTTTTTTAACTTGTCAATTCTCGTTTGTGGCACCGAAATTTGACAATCATGTCAAGTCACCAAAAAAAAGAATGCCAGCAACTGCAGAAGTCTTCAACATAATATTCGAAAAGTATTCTCACTTTTCTAAAAACCCATGAAAGAGTACCACATCATTCAAACCTTCTTTTTCTTGGTTAGGAGCATGCTTTTAATAACCTTGTATCCAGAATTCTTCATCAAAGATGCTGTTATCATCTTGGGATTGTACTTGCATTGGTGAGGAGAAATCTGGGATAGAGTCTGGTGTGGTGAGAACATTACTTCAATCTTATTGTGAATCTGTAATGTTCTAATTTCTATTCACGTTAACAATTTTGTCTTCAACAGAGGTTCCTTGCAGCTTCGGATATGTGTAACAGAGCATCTCCAGCTTATAACTTGGCATAATATTATTGTTTGAAGAAGGTAACACGTTCACGAGCTTTTTCTTTCAGGGTTACAACATACAAGGTAGAGCATCAGAATAATTGCTCCTATTGGTGTTGGAGGTTGAAAATCTTTTTGTTTCCTTTGAATGTACTACTAATTTTCATAATAATACTGATGAAGCATCCTAGAGGAGGTTTGCAAACAACAAGGGAAGCACACGATTTGATCAATAATAATCATTAATTCCTTTGATGAAAAGTGCTTTCTTTGCAATGCTGATGGTGTGGTGTTGTTCAAAGAGAATGGATAAAATATTTTTTTATTATTTTGTTAAAAAATTAATAAAAAATTAAATCACTCCTAAAATGAAGTGATTTGGAAATTATGCTACTTATGATGCCTCATCCATAAAAAGAGTACCAGTGGTAAAATAAAGGAAAAAATCTGTAAATTATGCGATTGAGGGACTGTCAAAAGAGTTGTCGCACAAGATAACAAAAAACAATATGAAACCTCATTCGAAATATCTTTTCATGGGATGTCTTTTAATCCTGGCAAGCTTCATTCTGGTTGCCTATAGATATTCAATACGGACTTCTCTTCATCTTCCCACACAACAATTAACATGTTCAACAAACTTTGACATGTGGCACGATTACACATATCATTTACACAAGGATGAAAAGCTTCCTCTCCTACCTCACGAATACGAATACTACAGTCAGGGTATTCTAAATTCAGATGAATTACATCATTATCCATCATTAAAATCACTCATTGAAAGTAATTGTGATGAAAATAGAGGAAAAAGTTTAATAGAAATTTGGTCAACAGATGACAACGAATTCACACTTCTTTCCTTTGAGTTCTTGTCAAAACCATCAAATAGTCATTTGAAAAGGATATTCTTCTCACAATTAACGAGTGCTTTGGATACAAGTCAATCGAATGGAAAGTTTAAACATGATTTTCATGAGGACGAAACTATCTATTCGATAATATTTAATCCAACAACAAAACGATATGAAATTAGTAAGAAATTACCAACTCTATTGGTACATATGGTCTTTGCACACAATGTTGAATTTAGAGACGATTTCGTTTCGTATCCAATAGTTTCAGAGGAATCCAGACGAAAGTATTGTCCCAACAATTGTCAGAACCATTTATGTTCTATTTGTGAGGAATCCACCATAAAGAAAAACGAAAGCAAAGTCTTCTTTTCAAGACCTTGGTGTTTCAAACCAAATTTAAATTTCGGAATTTTGTCAATTGAGGATGGAATTTATGATTTTGGAGTTTCTAATAGACACGTTACAGGAAGTTTATTTGATAAGAATGGTAATATCCTAATCATGTCAACTCCACATTCGCTCAAGTTTGATTATCAAGCTTCAGTTAAGTTTGAACCAATGTTTGCAATGGTTGGAGTTTCGTATAATCCAACAGCTGCTGGTCATTTTCCAATTGAAGTTTTACCGAGAATAGTTTTTATGAGTTATTTCTTACCTCTCCATATTCCTATTCTGATGAATGATATTGGAAAGAATAGACGAATTATTGAATCTTTTAAAGAGCTGGGAATTATACATCCAAAGAGAAAGATAATTTGGGCTAGAGTGGGTCATTATTATATTGGAAAGAGAGTTTATTTCTTACATTCGAAGGATGATTACGCTGCTTTAACACCTGATATTGTAATGAGAATAGTTTCGACAATTTATTCGAAATTTTTTAAAAAGTTACCAAATCCAATTCAACAAAATCCTAGAGAATATATTCTGGTTGTGGATCGATCAGATATTGGTAATAGAATGATTACTAATCAAGACGAAATGATCAACAGCTTGAAAGAGTTTACAACGCCTTTAAATATTGATATATTCCTGTCAAATTAGGAAAACTAGAATCATTTATTGACATTGGTGTTGCATTCTATGGAGCACTTGCTATCATTGCTCCTCATGGTGCTGGGCTCGCTAACATGAATGCAGTCAACCGAGAAAAAATTAAGTTTATCATGGAAATTGGGTGGATCTATGGTTGGCCTGGAGATTTTTGGTGTGGATCAAGATCGTTGGGAATTCGATACATTCCAATTATGTGTGATGATCTCAAATTGATTGTCAATGTCAATGAAGTTTTGGATCATGTGAAGAGGGAATTTAAAGATTACACTCCAGACAATTGAAATATTCCAGCAATAGTTAGTGTTGGAGAAAATCTTCCCCATTATTCTGACATCGGTGTATCTCATTCTCAAATATGAAGGTACATCTTGAATGTAAGACTGAATTGAAAGTTTCCTCGTCCTAGAAAATGATATACTCAAGAACTAAATGGAAATGAAATTACAAATAATTTTGTTTAAGTTATCTTAATACAATGCATAGGAATAAATTATGAGTGGACTTGAATCTTACTTGAAATTATTAAAATTCCAATCATGAGGTAAATGAAATTGTTGTAAAACGGGAATTGATTTGAGAGATGAGATATCCAGTTGATTGATTTGAGAATGTATAATTAAAACCACTGAGTTTGAGATCTATTTTCTTGGAGTCATATATTGATAGGACTTTGATTAAATTGGTAATATATTTGGATTCAGAGTATGGTATAGGATAGCATTCACCACTCAATTGTATTTTGCTAATTTGATGGATGAGACAAGTGAGCGATTCCGAGAGTGGAACCAGGTCGAATTTGGATTCCTCAATGACTAGTTTTCTAAGGTTGGTTTGGTTATTGACAATGTTCACAAATCTCTCATTAATTTCTTTTAGATACATGTTTGTAATGGTGAGGGTTTCCAAATAACAGGGAAATGATGTGAACTTTGAAATATCCTTTCCAGAAATATTCAAATCTCTAATACAATCATTGGAGTTATCATTTAGATATTGAACCAGACTATTCATATTTTGTGATACATATTCCAAACGCTTCAGTTTGTCTAGTCCTGTGAGTGTAACTGAGCATTGTTTTTTTACATTAATTGCCAATGATTCCAGAGTGCAAATAGGACTATTCCAGTTAGAAGCAGATCCAGCTGTTACTGCTAGACTTTTCAATAATGGAAAATTTGAAAAATCATTCATATCCACTAATACCTTTTGACTTTCCTCTTCAAATCTAATTTTTTCAATATTGCTACATTTTCTGAAATGAAAGAATGATATTGGAAGCTCACCGTTCTCGTATTCAAAAAATACAAGCTTTACCTTTTTCAAATTATCCAATGGTTTTGGGTTAATTTTTGAACATTTTGTTAGACTGGAGCAGTAGACAAGCAATGACAACTTTTCAAGGAGTGGTAAATTAAACAGTGCATCTGGAATAGAGCTAATCGTTTTTGATTCTAAACTAAGGGTTACCGATTTTAAAGTTTTTAGGGAGATTGCTCCTGTCACGTTAGCTGTTGAAAAACTAGAATATGATTTTAGAGATTCTAACTTTGGAAATACCTCTTCTATCCCCATTAATTCATGCATACAATTATAGTGTTTCAAATTAGGTAATTTGATATTCTCAATACTCATGTCATCATCACCATTTCTCAATTTTTTAAGGTTAACAAGTCTATTCAAAAATTCATCCATGTTATTGAATGCTATACTCGAGTAATCGAGATGGGTTAAACTTTTAAATAAAGGCTTATCATCCTTTCCAATAATTAATTCACTATCATCCAATTCAAGAAATTGTACAACCAAAGTGTGTAAATTCAAGTCAAACAAGGCAGTAAAATATTGTTGATGAATATCAATTTGTAAATATCTCAAAGTTTCAACCCATTTAGTGTCAACAAGAGATTTGGAAAATATTGATGTGGTATTAACAACTCCAATTTTTTCAAATCCCAAATGACTCAAGCAACAAACATCAAACTCATAGCATATATCAAAATCAGTAAACGAAATCTTTACATCTTTCAAATTCTTGAGTTTTTCCCATCTTTTAATACCAATCTCTATTTCCTTGAGTGATGATGCATGAATTTTCAAACTTCGAATATTCTCTCTCCAAGCAACAGAGGATGCAAGATAAAAATCCCTATTAACAAATCTCATTGTTCTCTCCAATAAATATTCGGGAATGTAACCCAGAATCAGGGTGAGTGTATCTTGCAAACTCAAAATTTGCTGCCATTTTTCAATCATTTCCAATCCAATTTGATCATTCTTCGGAGTAGTAGAAGAAGCATGAGACATCTTTTTCTTTTTTGTAGAAATTTGTAATGATGCTCCATCTGGCAAATTAGTCATAACAACTCCTGGTGCAGACTTTTCCTCCCTTTGATGAATATTTTTCTTTTCCTTTGAAATTTTTGAATGTTTTCGTTTTCCCATTTTTTTTAACTTTTGCAAGCGCATCATGTTTGTAATATCTTTAATTTAATTATTTAATTCCTTTATTTTCTTTTCCTTTCAATAGTTTAAATTAAAAGATTATTTAAATTAAATAATTTTTTGTGTGATTTACAGCGAAGGTACCATGCGTGCTGTATTTTCCTGTCTCTTCCCTCTATCAACAAATCAAAAATTGATTAACATAAAATAATGTCAATATCAGTTAAAATATTCAATTTCAATTTTTCAAATAATAATTTGCAATGTGAAATTAAGGAATGTGTTAATTTAGGTATTTTTTCAATTCCAAACAATATGTTTCCATCTCTATTTTTAATAATTAAATTTCTATCTTGGAATGAGGTTGAACTTAATTCTTTTAATGGAATTCCAATATCTATTAAATTTAATTTTAAGAAATTTACAGAATAAATTTTCTTATGTTTTTGATTAACTTCATTTGATATATAAAGTGTATAATCTTGTAATAGAAAACAAATAGAATTTACACTATCTCCAACTATTTCTATACATGATGGTAATAAGTTATCTAGTAGTGTTCTTCTTTTTCTTGATTTGGCAATCAGACCCAAAATGTTGTGCACCTCCAAATCAGAGAAGTCCTTTTTTGATTTAAAAAATGGAAATACCGTTTTTAAATCATTGTTAGTTTTAAATATCCATTCATTAGATAAGGTTTGTATCAGTAATGTTCCACACTTTAAATATTTAATATTTTTAACTTTTCTTTTGATTATATTTGATTTTGTTAAAGTGAAATCTTTTCCTTTTGATGAAATCCCTTATAAATAATTATCACTCATTATACAATAAAATAAATTAAATCCCATTCTGCTCTCTATTATTTTAATAAATTTCAATTTTGTTTCAAGTTCAACCATTTTGTGTTCTTTTTGATATAAAACTCTTCCAAAATTAGTTAAAATAAATACAGAATATTTCAAATAGGATAAATTGTAAACACAAAGATATTCAACAAATTCACCTTCCGATAAACAACCTTTTAGGCAATAATAATGGTCATTACCCCGTTGGTGTGCATTAATGAGTACATTACTATTTAATTCATAAAAGAAACTTTGGCCATTACCACCAATAAATATAAAGTTACTTAATTCTGCATTCGAAATTTCATTTTTTTTAACAACTTGATCAAACATCTCCTTAAATCTATCAAATGTATTTAAAACAAAAAAATTAGTATTTTTTCCATAAACAGTAACTGATCTTAAATGATTTTCAATAGAATGAATACACTCATTTTCCAAATTAACATTCTTCCAAGTATTATTGTAAAAATGATTAATATTATTCAATTCAATTTTTTTTTCATCATTAATATAAATATGATAGAGTTCATTCAAGTATTTGTTATTTGATATGTATGGTTTACTATTCTCGCAATAGTGAGATGACACTGAATCCAATTTAAAATTACTAATACATTTATCGTACTTCTTAAACTCTGTTTGATCATTACCACCAATAAATGCAGTATTAAATGTATTCTCCAATTTTTGTTTTTCAATAAGGTAACTATAATCATATGATGGAAATTTTACATGATTTAAATTGTTTGTAGACGTTTCATGATCATCACTGGATTGATCATCATTTATCGGAGGATTATTCACCACGTGATGATCATCACTCCATGAAGGAATCGGAATGAACATTTTTTTGGAAAAAAACATGACAATAATCAATTTCGACCTTGAAATGAAACATCTGAAAAGGTTTCCTCAGAAAAAATTGTGACAACACGAAAGAACCTCTGTTAAATAGTATTGAGAATAAAACAAGATTAATCAATACGAGAAATGTATTTATTGGATAGAAGATTGTCAAGAATTAAAAAACAGGTTTTTGACATCCCTTACATATTGAACAATCACAGGAACATCTTTTGTTTGGCTTTACCAAACTATCAAATTCATAATTAGCTAGTTTAGACGACAATGATTGAATATTTTTGCCCATACTTTCAATTTGCTCCTCTAATTTTGTTTTGTAAGCTCTTTCCTCTTCTAATTGTTCTTGGTATTGATTTAATTGCTCCTCTAATTGTGTTTCATATTGATCCATTTGCTCCTCTAATTGTGTTTTGTGTTGTTCCTTTAGTTCCTGTATTCCTGTTTCGTGTTCTTTTAGCTTCTTTTTCAAATCAGCTAATTTTGTTTCATATTCATCTTTTTGATTCTTTAACTTCGTTGCTTGCTCTTCGAATTTTGCTTCATATTCATCTTTTTGATTCTTTAACTTCATTGCTTGCTCTTCGAATTTTCTTTTATGTTCTTCAATTTTTCTTTCAAGAGAATTAGTATCTTTTTTCAATCTTATTAACAGGTTTTTTTGTTCAATAATTGTTTCATTGGTCCTTCTCTCATATTCTTTCCTATCCTTCTTGTCGTTAATTTGATTACTCTCTATTTCATCAATTCTATTTTTTAATTTAACAATGATTTCAGCATATTTTGCTTCAGCCTTAAACAACAATTGCTCCTGGAAATCAGCAAGAGTTTGTGTGATATCTGGATGATCCTTAATCTGTGTAATCATTTTTTCTTCTTCTTTCTTGTTGGCTCATCCTCTTCATCTGAAGAAAGAAAATTATCTTCCGATGCTTCAACAAACATCAACTCATCAAGTGATTTGAGGTGATTTTTCAATTGTTCTTCAACAAATAATGTATCAACACTAATATGATATTCTTGAACTGACACATGAATACAATCTAGGAATACTGGAAAATAATGTAATTTTACCTTTCCGAAACATTTCCAATAGCAGAACATGATAGCTAGATACAATACATCGAATGGTAATTGAGGAGCAATCATTTTTCTCAACGCTTCATCTTCCATAGCATCAAGTTTGTTGCAATTCTTAATGCTGAAAAAGTACGTAAAGGCTAAATAGAAAGCATCAAACCCAATTCCTTCCTTTCCTTTGAAAATGTTGATCAGTATTCTCTTAATGGTTTTTTCTTCACTTGAGTTTAAATTAGAGAAGAAATGTTGTTCAACAAGGTTTGGATCAATTTTGGCTGCTCTACGAGAGAGTTGGAGACCTTGAGGAGAGTTCAAATTCTTATTAACCAAATGGAAGAGTTTCTTCTGCTCTTCACGAGTCCTAAGGAAGAATTCAAAGCCTAAACTTGGTTCAACCAGCTTTAAAAGAAACACCAGATCATCACTCTCATTCTTCAAATTATACCTCTCTCGGAATATTCTTGCAATTATTGTACAGGATACACTGTTATTTAGTTTGAGTGCTTTAATTTCAGCCTCAAGACGACGATTCAATGCTTGTCTTTCTTCAACTGTATTGATTTTCTTATTAAAATCCTTAAGTCTTTGAACAAGATGATAAATCAATGCTTTGGATTCAATACTCAAAAGATGAGGAAGGTAATTGTTGACGAAAGCTGATACAATCTTCTCTGCCATTTTTTTCTAAAGCTTAATCCTTTGTTAATAACGGCAGGCTTGAAATTATCGTGATTAAGATTACTATGGGTATCTTCACCAAGCTTATTATGCTCTCTTAAAACTCAATACTTGTGATTGTGCTTTGAAGATCACTAGAAACATTTCCATTACATTATTGATGAATTATTCGTTTCAACCATTTACCATTTCCTTAATCATTCAATCAAAATCCTTTACAACATAAAAGATTTACAGTTTTCAGCCAATCTAAATATCCCCATGATATTTCCACTTATCCATTCTATTAATTGTTTGATCTACCATCTCATCTAATACCAAGCATCCAAAGTTAGTTCAATGCCGCCACGGGATTCCATCACGCCATATTCAGCAATTCATCCAAATATAACCTTTTCAGCGCCATTACGGATCGCCAAACACCCATTTAATTTTCAATATTTCATCTCAATTTTGATAGAAGCAACTAAAATACAAGTCTAAAAAAAAGTTCTCACTCCATTATTGTTGTAATATTTTAATTTACAATTTTGAATCTGGAATCTGTAGTAATAATAACAATAATTGAAAAAGATTGTAAATATTGAAAATATGACGAAAAAGGAAGTGAATAAGGAAGCCTTGATCAACACTGGCTCTTCCGATCAAACGACAACAACTGTAACGACAATAGATAAAGAACAATTGAATAATACAAACGCTGGTGCAAAACAAGCACCAGAAGAAAGACCAAGTAGAAATCCATTTAAACGATTCAAAAAGAAGAAAGAAGAAAAACCAAATTCTGAAGAAATTAAAGATGAGAGAGAACCAACACTTACTGGAAAGGATAACATGATCATTTTCAAGATTTTTGGATGGAATTGGTTGTTGGTATTGATTGGAGCTATTGGAAGTTTGGGTAACGGTGTTATTCCACTCAGTTTTCAATTTGTGATGGGTGACTTGGTGGATGTTTTTCAACCAAAGAATGGTGTTGTTCCAACAGTAGACTCTATGAAAGCAAGTGTTTCTGATATTGCTATCAAATTTACAATTATTGCTGCTGCGTCTGCAGTTGCTAGTTTTCTGTCTCAATTCTTTTTGAATTTGGCAAGTGAAAGAATTGGTGTTTCATTGAGAAAAGCCTATTTCAACGCATTGACCAGACAAGAAATGGGGTTCTTTGATATCAAAAAGACAGGTGCCTTGACAGTTGCGTTGAGTGAAGACATTTCCAAAATTCAAGAAGTTTACTCAAACAAATTGGCCCTCCTTTTACAAAACACTGCTCAATTCATTATTGGTATTGTGCTTGCCTTTGTTTCCTCTTGGCAAATGTCCTTGGTAATGATTTCAACTTCTCCATTGTTAGTCTTTGGTGTTGGTGTCTTGTCCAAGATTGTGGAAGTATTGACCAAAAAGACAAATGGAGCAACTGAACATTCTGCTTCTATTGCCACTGAAGTTGTTTCTAGTTTTAGAACTGTCAAGAGTATGGGTTGTGAAGAGAAGGAACAAGAGAGATTTGCTAAGGATTTGAAAAATATCAATACTTATGGTTTTTTTAAAGCAATTTTGCAAGGAACAACATTTGCAGCTGTTTCATTTATTCTTTGGGGAACTATTGCTTTATCATTTTGGGTAAGTTTTCAAAAATTCATTTCTAACAATTATTTACAATTATTTCGCCAATTGAATTTGAAATAATAGTATGGAGGTGGTTTAGTTGCTGAAAGCACAATTTCTGTTGGTGCCATGATGAAGGTTTTCGGTTTGATGCTTTTTGGTGTCATTGGTTTGTCACAAGCCGGTACTCAAGTTCCAGAATTTTCCAAAGCACAAATGTCTCAAAAAACTCTTCTTAGAGTTTTAAAGAGAGAACCTGCCATTCCATTCAAGGGAGGAAAAGCTCCAGAAGAGAAATTGAAAGGTTCCATTCAAATTAAGAATGTCAAGTTTGTCTATCCATCTAGACCTAATGCTACTGTATTGACTGACTTTTCCATTGACATTAAACCAGGAACTTCAGTCGCTTTGGTAGGTCCATCAGGTTCAGGAAAGTCAACCATTGTTGGTTTATTGGAAAGATTCTATGATCCACAAGAAGGAGATATTGTCATTGATGGATATAATATTAAGGATATTGATCCACAATGGCTCCATAGAAATATTGGTATTGTCACACAAGGTATGTTTAATTCTTAATAATTTCGTATTAATTCATTTAAATAGAACCTGTATTGTTTGCAACTACTATCAGAGAAAATATTGCTTATGCAGTTGGTAGTGAAAATGTTTCTCAAACTCAAATTGAAGAAGCTGCCAAATCTGCCAATTGTCATAATTTCATTATGGATTTACCTGATGGATATGACACCAAACTTGGTGAAAAGGGTGTTTCCTTATCAGGTGGTCAAAAGCAACGTGTTGCCATTGCCAGAGCTATTTTACAAGATCCACAAGTTCTCCTCTTGGATGAAGCCACTTCAGCCCTTGACACAGAAAGTGAAGGACTTGTTCAGGCAGCTCTTGATAATCTCATGCAAGGAAGAACCTCCATTTGTATTGCTCACAGATTGAGTACTGTTCAAAATTGTGATACTATCTATGTCTTAGTGAAGGGAGAATTGAAAGAATCAGGCACTCATCATGAATTGATTAAGAAGGAAGATGGTATCTATAGAAAATTGGCTGAAAGACAAATGATGTTCGGAAAGAGTGAAATTGACATGCCAAAACTTGAGGAATCCCAACCTATTATCAATTCTCAAAATGAATCTAAGGTTGAAAGTTCCATTGAGGATATTTCCATTTTGTAAATAATTTTTGAATTCAAGAGTTTACCAATTTTGTCATTTAAATAAATTTTAATATTAAAAAAATTCCACAAATAACACAAAACAGTCTGAAAATACCTGTTGTTGCCTTAGAAAAATGAGAGTCTACACTGAGCTTGAATATCAAGCATTGGAAGAGTTTCGCAACCTTAAGTACGAAACGTCTCCTCAGGAGGAAAAAGACAAAGAACAAAATGAAACTTTAATTTTAAAACAAGATCGTTCTCTCCTTGAGCACAGCAAGGACGCCAGTAGATTGCTAATTCCTAAATATTTAAAAAACTATTATTATAACAATTGTCTTAGAGGAGATACTAATTGACGGTGTGACGGTAAATCCCGTCTAACGGGATCCGTCAGATGTAATAAGCTGTCAAACGGGACAGTCAGCAGTAAGAGACGGAGCAAGAATGGAATTAAGGGAAATACTAATGTATCATTCTATAATAAATCCAAAATGGAAAAATTTAAAATGGAAATAAATTCACAAACACAACACCTCTGTTGTGGAATATTCACTAAAATCAAAGATTTCACTCTTTCTGTCTCAAATTTAAGAATGACATGAAATAATTTGACTTAGTTGATTAAAACACTGTTGAGAAACTACCCTTCTTTTTATGAGAAGTTTCCTTCTCAAACAATTCAGGTAAATAGTAAACTTTGGAAAGTTCAAATTTTGATTTTTTACTGAAAATGAAAAATATGGATTAATTGATATGAATGTGATCCCTATAACGTGTAGATGTTGAAAAAGTTGGTTATATTTGAAATGCAATTTGATCTTAATGATGTTTAAGGAAATAAGGTTAATTGTTCGATTTAAGGTGAAAGAAATGAAATAAAAAGAAAAAACAAGAATTTTATTATTTTAATATCATTGTGTAATGTTCACAATGAGTTTGATAATTTTTGAATCACTCTTGAAGGAGTGAATCATAAAAGGTTTGGCTAGAAATCTCTCTCCAAGCCAAAACACAAAATAATGAAAAACTGATATTAAATATGGTGTTTATTAGTGATTTAAACAATAGTACTAGAAGAAAGTTTCCAAGTTGGTGAAGTACATGTTGAGTTATGGTCCATGTACTTTTTAAAATTCACATGTACCTATCCCTATCAAAACTTGATGAAAATCCACCGTTCAAATTTACTATGCTACTATTGACCATTTCCAACAATCCTATATTAATAGTTTTCCAATCTTTCCAATGGATTCAACAGTGATGATGATTTTAGTAAAATGTTGAGTTTCACCCAAATAAAGATATTTCCAAGACATAGAAATCACCCATACTATTCTACTATATTAAATATATCTATGATGACGGTTGGTGAGTGTTCCGATGATGGTTTACCAACTTGAAAAATTATAATCCAAAAATTGATTTACTATTTTATGATGAAAGTCCAATAATAAAAATTACTACTATTACTACTATTTAGATGATGTTGAGATGATGATGTGAAAGTTTGGCAGCTTACGGATGTGAAACCACTCGAAGAATCATCAAAGTACATCACGTACTAGATGTTGAAATATTTTTTCACATATTCTTAACTGAACAAACAAACCTTGCTTCAAAAAATCAACCAAACTCTCGTAATACCTTGCTTGGTTTTCGTTCCAACAATTCAAGCCAAACAACACAAGAGAATCTATTTAATATAATTGGAAAATTCAATTGTATAAATGTATCATTCAATTTATCGGTGTTACTAAGGTTGTGCATTTTCCATTTTGGTTTACCGTCATCAGTATTAAGCGGATGCTCTTCTCCCGTCTTTAGTAAGAAACTGAGTGTTCTCCGTCTCATCCGTCCCCCGTTTCACCGTCACTTAGTACCATCTCTACAGGATTTCTTGTAGCTCCTTTTTCAACAGAAAAAAAGAATTATTTAATAAGTTGTGCTCATTGTTGTAAGAATCATTCCTCATCTGAAACAATAATGACATTGAAAAAAGTATATGGAAGCTTTAATCAAACTAAGGATATCGAAAAAACACAACAGTATTGTTTTGAATGTCAAATTGAAGCAGTGGGAGATTATGAAAAGATATCTGAAAGCGGGATTGCAGAAGACTGGGCCATCCTCTCATTTGAAAACTATATGGAGTATGGTTCTCCAAACTATTTAATACCATCCCCATCTCAGGTATTAAAGGTGAATCCGCAAAATTCAGAAACCATTCCAGATAATTATTCTTGCTTTGTATTTGGGCTTTCCATTCCTTCACCATACATGAAATCTGATATTGAAAAGTGTAAAGATACTGGAGTTCCATATGAACAGATACTGAGATTGATTCCTGACACTCAGTTTTCTATGAGTTTAGGATGGCTATCTGACAAGAGAATATCAGATTTCATCATTCCCCATTTTGTAAATACCTGCTCCTCAAACTCTGGATCACCCTTATTAACTTGTAATATTACTGTTTCTGATGTTATGAGATTGCCTGTTAATGATCCTCTTCAAAAACCTCAAAATGTGAGAGATTTCATTAAGAGCCAAACTTTTAACAATAAGGTCATTGGAATTCATTGTTCTCACAACGAAGAAATCAATTATGCTTGCTCTGTATTGAAATGGTTTCTGCCATACTACCAAATTGTCTTTTCTCAAAACAGAGAAAGATTTACGGAGGACGATGTTGAAATGATTGAGAATGAATATGTGGAATATCAAAACAGTCAATTTAATTAAATTGATAATGGCAGCTTTATTTTCGATTGTGGAATATTTTCATTGATATTGTAATCCCGTGTAGTCCAATGGCTAGGATACCTGGCTTTCACCCAGGAGGTCCGGGTTCAATTCCCGGCATGGGAGGATACTTTTTTTACATTGAATTTTTTATTCACCAAACCAAACTTTCAATCAGCAGTAATTTTTTAATTGATGGATTCATCATCCCAAACTCTGGAGTAGCTTGTTGTTGAATATTGCTATTTTTGCACTTGGCTGCATTGTAAACATTCAAATGTTCTAGTTCGTTCCAAAACAGCAATGAGGACAATCATATTGGACCTTAAATTAGAAAGCGTGTCTTTTACCTGTCACATCACTCTTACTAATTTACTAATCTTAACCTGTCACTCACAAATCTTTTTAACAGACAAATTCTCATAAAAAAACAAGATGAAATTGCACTTTTTCTTCGTCATTTTGATATTATTCTTCACTCTCTTTCTTCACGTTTTTACTCCAGTCAAATGCCAAACCATCACAACTATTGCTGGATCACTTCCTTACGGCTACAATGGTGATAATCAATTGGCAACCCAAGCAGAGCTCTATGGTCCAAGGCAACTAGCTTTTCACAATAATGAATTGTATATTACTGATAGTGTAAATTCAATGATTAGAAAAATACTTTCGAATGGAACAATAGTTTCAGTTGCTGGTTGGATGGCTTCACGTGGATTCAATGGTGATAATCAATTGGCTACTTTGGCTGTGTTAAATTCCCCATATGGAGTAGCAGTATCGCAAGCCACTGGTCATATTTATATAGCAGGTTAGTACTTGTCATTGCTTTCGAATAATATTAAAATTCTCTCAACAGATACACTCAGGATTAGAAAGATTGTGAATGGTATAATTTCAACAATATGTGGTACAGGAATTCAAGGAAGTGGAGGTAATGGCGGTCTAGCAATCTATGCAGAATTATACTTTCCCTATAGTTTAACTATTCGAAACATTGAAGGAGTAGGTGATGAAATATACATCGCTGATTCAACTATTATTAGAAAGATTGGAACAGATGGAAAGATTACTAGATATGCAGGTGGTGGAACTCAGACTGCTGAGTATATTTCAGCACTTTCTACTCAGTTGCCCAGTAGTATGGTTATTGGAATTTCACAAAGTACTGGTGAGTTATATATTGGAATGTCAGGTGATATTTTAGTGAGAAAGGTTTTTACAAATGGAACTATTGTTTCAATCGTTAAGAAAGATAATTCTCTTGTTGATACTATTACTGCACTTACAGTTTCGAATAGTTCAGTTTATTACACAGAATCGAATAGAAGAGTTCTACAATATTCCATTGAAAATGGTACAACTACTGTTATTGGTGGAAGTTTGGACATTTTTAATTCAAATTTTCAAGATAACATACTTGCAACAACTGCCACTTTACAAAACACAAGAGGAATTGCAGTATCAGAGACAGGTGACGTGTATTTTTCTGAAAGCAGTGAATTTTATAGTAATGGAAGAGTGAGAAAGATTAAACCAGATGGCTACATTGTAACAACTGCTGGTAATATGTTAGATTTAAATAGTGGTTACAATGGAGATAATATTTTAGCAGTAAATGCCAAACTGAAATCACCAGAGTCTGTTGTGGTTTCGAATAGTGGAGAGGTCTATATTTCTGATACTGGCAATTCAAGAATTAGAAAAATTCTATCCAATGGACAAATTGTAACTGTTGTTGGACGAGGAAATTTTCGAAATTCTCCAAGTTATAATGGCGATTACATTCTTGCTATTAATGCAAATATCAAAAATCCAAGTGGTATTTTACTTTCCTCTACTAATGAATTATATATTGCAGATACTGAAAATTATAGAATTAGAAAGGTTCTTACAAATGGAACGATTGTAACAATTGCTGGAACAGGTTCTTACACAGAAGATACTTTTGTTGATTTGGCCACAAATATTGGGATTGGACAACCAAAAGCTTTGGCACTATTTGGTAATGAGATTTATTTCTCGACAAAGAGTCATAGAGTTAAAAAGATTTTAAGTAATGGAACATTGATAACTTATGCGGGAACTGGGATTTATGGTTACGATCCGGGTGATGTTTTGGCTGTTAATACTAAATTATTCTTTCCCAATGGACTGGATGTTTATCCAAACGGAGATTTGTTGATTGCTGACTCTTCCAATCACGTCATTAGAAAAGTCTTGACAAATGGTACTGTAATTCGAGTTGCAGGAACTGGAACAAGAGCTTACAATGGAGATAACATCTTGGCAGTGAATGCACATTTGTCTGAACCAAGTGGAATTCATATACTTTCGAATGGTGAAATTTTATTCTCAGATAAGTACAATTATAGAGTTAGAAAAATTTTGACAAATGGAACAATTATTACAATTGCTGGAATAGGTACATATGGTTACAATGGAGAAAACCTGCCAGCTTTAAGTACAAAATTCTTTGGTGTCACAGGCCTGGCACTTTCTCCTGTGGATGGTTCAATATATTTGGCAGATACTTCCAATCACAGGATTAGGAAAATAACTGATCCGTGCGATGTTAGTAGAAGTTGTTACAATAATGGAGTATGTAACTCTACCAATAATCAATGTGAGTGCAATTCAGGATGGAGAGGTTCTTCCACATGTTCTAAATATTCATGTGATGCCTTGAATGAGTGTAATGGTAAAGGAATATGTGTTGGAAACAATACTTGTCAATGTGATTCTGGTTGGAGAGGAAATTTACAATGTACTCAATTCTCTTGTGAGTTATATAACAATTGCACTGGTAAGGGAAAGTGTGTGAACAATAACACATGTCTATGTGATTCAGGATGGATGGGCTCCAATAACTGTTCGCTTTTTTCATGTGAAGGGGTCAGTAATTGCTCATCACATGGTGATTGTATTGGAAATAATTCATGTTTGTGTCAATCTGGATGGAAAAATATGCAGTGCTCAGAACCTTCCTGTGAAATTCTCAATAATTGTCATGGAAATGGGTATTGTAAGCTGAATAATACATGTGAGTGCAATTCAGGATGGAAGGGTTCTTTGAATTGCTCCATTTTCACATGTGAAGGTGTCAATAACTGTAATTCTCATGGGTTATGTATTGGTAATAATACTTGCACTTGTGATTTGGGTTGGAAGGGAAATTCTCAATGCAGTCAATTCTCCTGTGAAATTTACAATAATTGTAATGGAAATGGAAATTGCAAGAGTAGTAATAGCTGTGAATGTAATTCTGGATGGAAAGGTTCACTGGATTGTTCCATATTCACATGTGAAGGTGTCAATAATTGTTCCTCTCATGGTACTTGTTCTGGAAGTAATATTTGTACATGTGACAAGGGATGGAAGGGAAATTCTCAATGTTCTTTAGCATCCTGTGAATCTTTACAGAATTGTAATGGTAATGGAAATTGCACTTTCAATGGAACATGTTCCTGTTTAAGTGGCTGGGAGGGTGTTGATTGTGCTACCATTTCAAAAGTTGTAACAGGTGGAGAGGGTCAGAGCAATACTACTGTGGCTATTGTGGTCTCGGTTGTGGTGGTGGTTGTAGTTTTATTGATTATTGTAGTTATTGTAATAATAGTGATTGCTATTGTTGTTTCTAGAAAGTTTGTGAAGAAACCACCTGGTAAGAAACTAGACGAAAGTGTAAAGAATGATTTTGAGTTGATTGATGAGAATGCGAATAGTGCCATGACTATGAAATCTGTGAATCCATTGATAGAACCTATCAAATCATCTTGAATGTTTGAAAACTCACCAACTTCAGATTATCCGACCGATTCTTTCCTTAGCACTAGCAAAGTGTCTTCCATTGTTTCCTCTTCATCAAAATCACTCAATCCAACCAATTCCGCAAGCACATTTTCCTTACTTAAAGATCGTTATCAGATACAGGAAGTGATTGGAAAAGGTTCTTTTGGAAAATGTTATCTTTGTGTTGATGTGAAAAAACAAAACCAACCAGTGGCCATTAAAACTATTAGTATTGAGGAGAACAAACACTCAAAGATTATTGATGAGTGCTCCAAGACTGTTTCTTACAAACATCCAAGATTGGTACAGGTTTATGAATTTTTTGAGTCTGAACTACTCAATTCTATTTGCATTGTAATGAAATTTTACAATGGTGATTTGGAAACATTATTGAAGAAGCAAGAAAATGCATTACCAGAAAGTGTCATTATCAAAATGATGAAACAATTGGGTGATGGTTTAGATTATCTCCACAATGAAAAGCTAATAATTCACAGAGATATCAAACCAAAGAATATTTTCATTGAATCCTTTGATATTGAAAAGGAGGAAATCAATATTGTCATTGGAGATTATGGAGAGGCTAAAGATCTTGGAGAAACAAGCAATAGTGTGGTTGGAACGCTGCTTTATATGGCTCCTGAGGTATTTTCAAGAAAGTACGATTATAGTGTTGATATATTTTCTCTTGGAGTAACACTTGTACAAAGTATGTCAGCAAGTGGTTTCGATTTCTCAGTCACTGACAAGCTCATGTATGAAGCCGAGGAGAGTGTACTCAAAAGAGTGAGTGAACATTTACTTTCCAGACAATATTCAACACAACTTTGTGAATTTGTTATTGCCATGTTGTCAAGAGACCCAAATAAGAGACCAACTTGTGTAGATATTAAGAATTATTAAGGTCTGTACTTGAATTTAGATATTCAAGGTTTCTTGATTTATTAATAGTAGAATTAAATTAAATCAAGATTAATTGTTTCATTTTGTGTATATTCAAGTCCTTCAACACCTATGTGCATCTAATAGAAGTCCTTAAATTTAATGCAATAGCTTAGAATAAGAAACAATGGCAATATCACAATATGATCGATGATCTTGAGATTTTTTCAATTGACCAACAAAATTTTCAGCAGTTCTTTGCAATAACCCTTCTTGTTCCCTCACCAATGCCACAATTTGTAAATTAATCAATTTTTCTTCCTCTCCATCTTCCAATCCATCTTCCAAATCGCTTGTAATAACACCTTTCCTTAATAAGTATCTCACAACATTTAAATGTCCATATTTAGCAGCACACACCAAAGGTTTTGGACAAATGTAATAACGACTGACTTGGCCATCATTCATCTTTGCAGAAAAGTCCTCAACTAACATTTTTACCATGTTCACATTACCAACAGTACACGCAACAGCCAATGGATTCACATCTTCATCTGGATAAGTTCTTGTAGTCAAATGACAACATGATTGGTTGACCAGGTCTGGTTTGTGAGATAGAATAATTCTGGTAATTTCAAGATCTTGATTCAGTATTGAAACTAATAAATGATTGTATGTGTAACTGTAGTATCGACTGTGTAATTGATTATTCCATCCACCATTTATGCCAAATTTCATTAAAGTTTTGACAATGGTTGGATTTTTCAAAAGACAGGCAAGTATAAAGGCACGACTATGATGACAATCATTCCATAAACCCCAACATGCTGTATCAGAATCTTGCTTGGCTCCATTTTGTAATAAAAATTCAATACATTCAATATTTCCTAATTTGACAGCCAATTCTAATGGATAGTTTACACAAGGAGTTGCTTCATTCAGACCTTCTCTTGATGGTTGAATAAATTTAATGGAATCTGTTGTGGAAAGTAAGTTTGCAATTTGTGAAAGATCTCCATTTCTAATACAAGTATCTAATTGTTGAAAATTTGGATCCAATTTAAATAGGGGATCGGAATCAGCTTCACATTCATTTCTTAGTGTTTCAAGGATGTTATAGAGAAAATTGAGAGGTGTGTTTGCCAACATGTTGTTTTTTTTGTCCCGAACATTGTTGTTAAATTTAGATTCCAACTCTTAAAGGGATTAAATGTGTTACAATGCAAAGATTTGTTTAGGCTAATTTAAGAATTTACAATACCATCAGCATGAATATGTGAATCTACTATTGCAAGTATTGATGAAAGACACTGAGAAAACAACTACAATACCAACACCATTCTACTGAAGCTTCTTATTGTGAATTCCAAAGCAAAGTTTCTTGCCCCACGATCAAAAAATCTTCACCAAACAAACGTGAAAGGTATTAATATAAATAGATAGCACAATGCAATAGTAAACAAGCAAAAAAAACAACAAGAAACATGTTAGCAGCAGTATTATCAACTTCAACCGTGATGGAATTACAATCCTCAAGTCCATCTTTATGGGCAAGAAAACCAGCAATTGCATCACCAGATTGTCCAAGTTTGGATGCAGATGTAGCAAGACAGCAACGTCTCCACGATGTCATGGCAACTGGCATTGCTAGTGGTAATGGAATGGGAAGATGTCCAGGAGGTGGTAGATATTCTTTGATACCAACTAGTTTGTTGGATTGTACATTGGGATGTAGTGATATTGTGATGGAGATTATGAAGTTTATTAGTGATGAGGAATTACTTGATCATTTGATGAGATACTTGGTCAATTTTCCTGATTTGGTTAATGTTGAAAATTGTCTTCCTATTTTAACACAAAGAAGAGTTTGGTATTGTAACAATCAATTACACATGGAGTTTTTGAGTGAATGTGTTCAAAATGTTCCAATCATGAACAATATTGAACTAGTCTTGGGGTTCTCTCGATATCCTCCACAATTCTCTTCGTTCATTGAAAAGTTCAGCTATGTTCATTTGAATCACATTTCAACTACAAAAAGACAATTGATTGAGTTGATGAATGCTACTACAAGCAAGATCCAACACTTAAAGTTTACAAACTTTAAATTCCAAGATCCTGAAACTGAATTACCATCCACAAGAACTTTCAACATTTCACCATATTTGAAAAAGCTGTCGTTTAACATTGATTGGATAACCATTTACAAATATTGTAAAAAGAATAGTGAAAATACACTGCAATTAGAATCATTAATGAACAAAGAAATTGAGAACCCAATAATTTCTCTTTCCAAACATTTGAATTTAAATTCCTCCAATGTTGATGAATTGGATTTTAATGATTCAGTTGGCATTAGTGATAAAAGGCTAGTTTCTCTAATTGGGCCAAAGTTGACCAGACTCTCACTAATGTGTCCGTTGTTTAACCTTTCTGTAATTGCTCCAAATCTTGAATATTGTGAGATGAACATCTTCCCAGTACAGTCAATGGAAATACCCACTCTCTGTGTTAAACACCCCTTTCCTATGCTATTCTCAAATCTACCATCTCAAAAAGTTAAGAAAATCATTATTGTGAAGTTAGTTGTTTTCGATGAGAAAGAAGAAAAGAAAAATTTGAGATTTTTCTTGTCTAGAATGTTAGTTTGTTATCCTAATTGTGAAGAGTTGATTATTCCCGAGTCTTTCTTGATGTTATTGAATGAGGCTGACTTGAATGAAGAAGAAATTCAGAGTTCATTGAAGAGAATTATTATCAAACATTCCAATTCCACACAACCATCCAAATATGGTACACTAAAATTTGCATTGCAAGGTTTCTTCTCAAAGGTAACTGTATCATTTGATGAAATTAGAAAGGATGAACTCCAATTCGAAACTCTTCCTTCCAGCAATAGAAATATCATAGTTGACTGTTATGAAGATGTACTTTTCAAAAAAATTGAAAGTACTGAAAAGCATTTCAAAGTTATGGATAATTCTCTCATTAAGAATCGAATTAGAAACATGAAGATGGAATTTGCTCAAGGCATTATTTCTAACAACTATTCAAAATTTGCAGTAATTGATATTTCCTTAAATATGTTAGAAGGATTGAAGCGTAACAAAGAACTCATGCTCCAAACAATTCATCAAGCCATTGAAAACTATCATGATATATTTGCCAATGACCAATTATATCAAGCAATTACTGAAAGATTCGACGTTTGCTTATCAACCATTGAAGGAGAATACTTTAGCGAATTTAACTTCTCTAAATATTATAGTGAGCTTGAAACTCTCTTCCACCAAATGATTCAAGTCATTGAGGAGAATGGCTATCCATCAAAAGTTCTATTCAATGAACAATGGTTCAACGAACAAATTGTTGAGCTGTATGGCTACCAAAGTGAAGAAGTTCAAGTTTACGAAGATTCACAGGAAGAAATGGAGAAGGCCATCTTTGCTTTAATGTTAGATGAAGAAGAAGCAGTGGATATTGAAATTGATGACTGTGAAATGTAGTAATATTGTAAATTAATAAACAAAACATTCTAATTATTTGTGTAGTTTCTTCTTATAATTTCAATTATAATTTCTCCAATGTTTAGAAAAATTTTCTGTGTACAATTTTAGAGCCATATTCTTGGTAATCTTTCCTACTAATGCTCAAATCAATAAATTGAGAAGTTTGAGCTAGAATGGAAGCTCCTTTCCATGAAGAAAATTGTGCATGGTTCGTTTCACAAATTGATACTTCTATTGGAGAGATTTTGTTACATTCCTTCTCAATTCTATTCCTAAATCCTTTCAGTAAGGTGTTTCCGCCCCCAAGGACTATATTTCTGTACAATTCATTTCTAATATCTTGATCACACTTTTCTATCAAGGGAATGATATTTTCATGGATGCCTTTACAATTGAAATCTATCAAGGATGGATTGAATAGACATTCTGAGGCTTCATACAATTCATCTCCTAACAAAATGACTGTTTCATCTGGGAGTTCATATGATACTTTCTCATTTTCTCTAGATTTTTCACAATCCATTAAAATATAACAATGTTTTTCCTTAATGTCTTCAACAATTCCAAAACTCAGTTTTGATTCATTCCTCTCATCAACTTTCCTTTTCAAATATTCAGTAACATCCAATCCTCCCAAATCCAAACTTTCCGTTGCATGACTGAGTGCATATCCTTCATAGACAGGGACAGTATGACTTGATCCATGACCTGATTCCAAAACCAAGCCATTCACTTTATCACAACCAAATAATGTAGTGACAGCTTGATTGGCAATATATACAGAAGGTAGCTCCATAGCATCAAACAATACTTGAATCATTTTTTCTCTATCCTCTTTCGAATTCTTGGAAGGAGATTCGGTTAACAAAGCTGGAGTTGTTTCCATATCAGCTGCTAAATAATGAGTAAATATCCTTCTCCATATCACTTCCATATCATCCCAATCCACAATCTTTCCTCTACGAATAGGAAACCTTAAACTGTCCCTCCGATATCCAGAAGCCCTTTCTCCAACAGCAATCGGAGTATCCCCCAAACCAATCATTCCTGTTTGTCTCCAAACAATTGTCGGAAAACATTCCTTTGGTTGGTAGTCACCAGAAAATCCAGCTTTCATCGTATGGGATCCATTATCTATAATTACCGAAGCCAAACCTTCAAAGGACATAGACGAATGAAATTTTGCTATTTTTTTTTGATATTTAAAATTTGATGAACTTTGTAAAATTCTTTTAATTATGTTGAAACAACAACTTTGCATCAATTCGATGTTTTCTTTTCTGTTATACTGCTGATGAGCTAGTTCCCTATTCACTCACAATCGTCGTCATGTGTTTCTTTAAAATTTACAAAAAAAAATGTCATCATTTGATAGTAAAAAATTGGGCAATCTTCATGGACCAGTCCTCTTTGAAATTTTTAAATTTCTCCATTCGAAACACTTGTTAGGCAGTATTGTCTTGGTATGCTCGGAATGGAGACAAATTGTAGTTGAGTGTGTGTTAAATCTCGAGATCAAGGAATATAATTTTAAAACATTCCTTCAGAAGGAGTTGAATCCATTCAGTGAGGATCCGAAGGCTTCATTTCCTTGTCCACATTTGCAATCGTATGATCATGTGGAGAGATTTGTGCAATCGACATGTCTTTTTCAGAATTTAAATGATTTGACATTGGCTGGTCATGGTGATTTGTTCTCCTTTGAATTGTTTGGATATTTAGTTAGACAATTGCAGGAACTTAACAAACTGACTCTCTCCGATGTTTGTCTATACAATGGAAGATATTCAAGGAGGATTAGAACGAAAACAACAACTGTTGAGTCAGCATCTGAATCAAAAAAGGGATTCTTTGCAATGTTTAGAAAAAAGAAGGAAGTTGTACCACCTGCTGGAGCTGTTGCTAAGAATATTACAAAGGATGATCAAAGGGATATTGTGGTGGAATTTGTGAGGTCAGATATTGAAGATGGACCTCTCAAGATGAAATCAATGAAATCTGTTAATAATTTATTCAAATTGCACTTGTTCAAGGTGAATTTGGGATTGGAGAATTATGAAAATATGATGAAACATTTAGTGAACTTGAAAGAATTAAGAATTGTGGATTGTTATTTGGAAAAATTCTCACTTCAAACATCATCCAAGCAATTATCTCATATTGAATTGAATTTTTCAAATTCTAATTTTCCAACAATGGCCATTAGCGAATCATCTCAAAATTATCTTTATGAAAGTTTGGTTTACTTGGTATTGAATAACGTAGAATGTCCAACATTGACTGAATTCTTACCAAAATGCAATAATTTGAAATATTTTGTGGGCAGAAAGCATTTTCCATTTAATATGAAGGGAAATTTGAGTATTGAACATTTGACAATCGATTCTGGAAATATTCTTCTGTCAAATATTGATACTCTACTGAAACATTCACCACAATTGAAATCTTTTGAAATGCTAAATATCAGTTTTGGGGACAGCCATGCAGGATTTATCACTCATGTTTTAGAAACAATTCCGACTCTAACTCGGTTGACTATGAGAAATGTTAAGGGTATTCAAGACACTTCTATTCTAAGCCAACAGTTGAAGCATCTTGAAATATCCTCCTTGGAGATGTTACCAGAGTGTAAAATTGAATGTCCATCCGTCAATACTTTGATTCTCAATTCAACTAATTTACTTGACTCTTCTAAAGCTTTTGCTGTCATGAAGAGTAGAGAGATTAGAGAATTGGGGTTATCCATGCTTAGTTCCAGTGAAGGTATTGCATCCGCAACTGCCTTGGGAAATCTTATCAAATTGGACTTTTCTTACAATAGAAAATTGAACGCAGAACGTTTGAGAGAAATTATTAGTTTTACTCCTAAATTAGAATTTTTGAATTTGAAAATGACAGGAATTGGGGGCGGATTCTTAACACATGGAAGCAAACTCAAAACATTACTTTTGAGTGGTAGTTCCATTTCAAATAATCAACTCAATGATTTGGTCAAATGTTGCTTGGATTTGAAGAGATTGGACATTGATTGTTGTGAATATTTGACAGAAATAGATCTGAGCTGCCTTCAAAAATTGAATTCTCTCGATTTGAGTGAAACCACAATGAAACTTGGTACTTTACTTACATGCATTGAAGCAGTACCTAGTTTGAGATGTTTATATTTGAGATGGATTACTGATCAAAAGATGGCTTGCTCTAAAGAAATTCTCATGAACAAGTTTAGAAATTTGCTTTTCCTAGATGTGACTGGATCTCCATCCCTTACGAAATCTGATTTCTTGGAAAATATTACAAAAGATTTTAAGGATTTGGTTCTAGTTCCGAAAACTCAAATATTCAGATATGAAACTGCAATCAATCCATTTATAAACTATTGTTAAAACAATTTAAAAAGCTTAATTTTTTATTAGTAATTAAGGTTTTGATAAAAACTGAGACTCGCCACTGACATTTTGTCTTGCAGTAAGGGAAGAGCCTGGATTGATCCATTGTCTGAAGTTTCTCAAGCTTCCTCAAGAAATATCATCAGTCTAGTTCACAATATTGCATTCCAGTCCAAAATCTGGGTCCAATTTAGAGAGAAAAGCACAGATGCTTGCGCCAAAATAGTTGAAAATTATTCTAAATTTCCAATTTCATCCAATTTCAGCATGTTTGTATTCTTTCCAATTCTAGTTCTATACAAGTCCGTTACATAAGCACCACAAACCTCCAACAAGTGAGCAATTTCATAACCCAAAATTCTCACATATGTTCCAGTGCTGCAAGTGCATGAAAATGATAATTGACCTAGTTCCTTATTGATATGAGTACACTCAATTCTATCAACTCGAATAGATCTGGAAGGTAAATTCAAGGTTTCTTCCTCACAATATAATCCTCTGTATTTCCTTTCTTCTTCATCTTGTTGTTCCATCTTTCTCAAATTATTGTAACCATGTGAAAAGAGTCTCTTTCCTCCAATTTTTACAGCACTAAACACTGGAGTTTTCTGAACAATTACATTATTTCTCTCTTTCAAATACTGATTCACTAGTTCATTAACCTGCTCAATGGTTTGACAATTCTTATCAAAGAAATATCTATAATGTGGACAATAAGTTGCAAATTTCACAGTATCAGCATCATATGAAGGTGTTGAACTACCACATTGAATCACAAAATCATAAACCTTCTCATCTCGATCTAAATATTTAAGTGCCTTTGTTCCTTGTCCATTCACACCAATCATTAGCACACCATGAGCTGAGGGATCTAGACAGCCACCATGTCCAACTCTCAAATCCTTTCCCAATCCAAACTTTGTTTTAAAATTCATTATGAAAGATTGACTATTAATTCCCACTGGTTTATACATTGGAATTACACATGACATATTTTCCTCATATAAATAATTTCTGAATTGAGAAATTGAATTTACAAAACGATTTTCATCAAAAATTGGGACATCAGCCATTCCCATCCGAATCCACTTATTCACTGGTGAATGTTCTTTCAAAAAGGAAGAATATTCCAAGAGTGATGAAGCATTTCTCACAGGACTTTTCACATTATCCAAGATTGGCTTTCCTGTTCTTCTAAAAACAACCATTTTACAATTTTAATCTATTGATTTGTTGCTATTCGTTTCGGTTCCGAAGTGTATTGTGCAATTTTTGAAATATTGTGATGAAAATTCTGATAAATTTTTTTCAATTTTCTCACATCATCAATATCCTTCAATCAATTTATGAATTGGTTCATTCATCTCTCCACATTTTCCAGTCCATGTCCACTCCTCACAACACATTCAATTTCCAACCGGATTGACTCACAACAATTAGTCCATTCTTCTGTTCTAAATTTGACATTTTCTCTCTCTCGAATATTCCTTCAAGAAATTCTTCATCAAACTTTGCGAGCAGCAAAAATAAATTTTAAAATTGAAATTAAAAAAAATGTCCACCACAACAACTGCTGACGAAGTTGAGATTATTGAAGAGCAACAAACTAATTGTTCGGGTGTTGGTTGTACTCATCACCATCATCATCATCATGAGGCTCCAACAACAACAACTACATCTTTGAAACAATCAGGTCTTCAAAAATTAAACGACGATGCAGTTTCAACTACTTCATCAAAGAGAAGTAAAATTACAACAAGAACAACAACTACTAATGCTTCTCGTCGTACTACTAAAAAGAAAGATTTACCTAATGTTTTATGTTGTTTGTGTGGTGTAGTTACACCAGCCAATCCTGCAAATATGTGTTTGAATTGTATCAAATCTCAAGTGGATATTACTGATGGTATTACTAAGAGTGAAACAATCTTCTTCTGTAGAGAATGTGAACGTTATCTTCAACCTCCTAAATATTGGATTAAATGTGATATGGAAAGTAAAGAATTGCTTACTTTGTGTTTGAAACGTATTCACGGATTGAATAGAGTTAAATTGATTGATGCTAAATTCTTATGGACTGAACCTCACAGTAGACGTTTGAAAGTTAAAATTACTATTCAGAAAGAAGTTTTAGGAAATGGTACTATTCTCCAACAATCTTTTGTTGTCGAGTTCATTGTCAGAAATCAACAATGTGAAGTTTGTCAAAAATCTCACACTCTCTACACTTGGAATGCTGTTGTTCAAGTTAGACAAAAATTAGACCACAAGAGAACTTTCCTCTTTTTGGAACAATTGATTTTGAAGCACAATGTACACGAAAAAGCTATCAATATCAAGGAAGAAGCTGATGGTTTGGATTTCTTCTTCTCTGAAAGGTCACATGCTAAGAAATTGGTTGACTTTTTGCAAAGTGTTGCATCAATTAAGAGCAAAACTGGTGAACGTTTAGTTACTCACGATGCCAAATCAAACATTTTCAACTTTAAATATTCATTCTCATTGGAAATTGCTCCAATTTGTAGAGAAGATTTAATTTGTTTGCCAAAGAGATTGAGTACATCAATGGGAGGTATTGGTCCATTGGTTTTATGTACAAAGGTTAATAAGAATATCTTCTTTGTTGATCCAACTACTTTACAAACCAACGAATTGGATGGTGCTCTCTATTGGAGACAACCATTCTTCTCTGCATTGACAAGTAGACAATTATCTGAATTTACTGTTGTCGATGTTGAATTATTGGACTACTCATATTTTGCCAAGAATAACAAGAATCCAAACAATTTACCTGCTGCTAATGGTAAATATATTTTGTGTGAAGTTCAAATTGTTAGAAGCGATGAACTTGGTTCTGATCCAATCTTTGTCAAGTCACATTTAGGAGCTTTGTTGCATCCTGGTGATACTATTATGTGTTACGATTTGAGAAAGGCCCAATATGATGAAGGTCTCTTGGCTGACTATAAGAATTCTCAAACTGAAAAGCTTCCAGAAGTTATCATTGTTAAGAAGATTTATAAGAAGAGAAAGGAAAGAAATTGGGAGTTGAAATCATTTACCGGTGAAAAGAACTTTAACAATCCACTTGCCACTGAAGAAGGTAAGGAAGATGATCCAGTCTCCAAGAAGAAGAATAAGAAGAATGATAAACATGTTGGAGGTAATGTAAAGCAAGACTCTAAGAGAAAGGAAAAGGATCTCGAAGATTTCAAGAGAGAATTGGAAGAAGATGATGAAATGAGATCAAAGGTTCTCCTCTTTAAGGCAAAGAAGAAGGCTACTACCACTGAACCAGCTCAACAACAACCAACTGAAGAAGATAGTGACAGTGAAGAAGAATATGCTCCAGCTGTAGGAGATGAAGAACTTCTCGATGAAGAAGAATATAACAGAATGAGAGCTGCCAAGAAATTAGAAGAAGAAGAAGAAGCTGATGAACAAGACAATGACGAAGAACCAGAGCCAGAATCCTCAGATGACTCTAAACAAATCAAGGATGATGCCAAAATCATTATTCAACAATAATGATTATGACTTCAATCAATTTGCAAACCCATTTCAAATAAAAAAATGATTCAAAATAGATGTGTGAAATCCCTCATACTCTCATCGTGCACTTCTAAAATTGCTAATAACCGAACATTCCTACAATCTGCTGTAGCAATCAAGAAGAAACAATCATCACAATTCTATCAAATTGTTCATTCCACTCCGAAGTTTTGTCTTGCTTCTTTTCACAATATCAATTCACACCTTCGGAATAATTTATTTGATAAGCCAATTAGAATTCTCTCGATAGAAACAAGTTGTGATGACACAGGAGTAGCCATTCTCGAGTCTACCTTTAGGAAAATTCACAAACCATCCTCCACCATTGAAAATGTGCAAAATGATAATTCCATAGAACAAGAATCATCTGATAAATCAAATAATCAAATAGAAAATGTGATGGAGAGACCAAAAATACTGCACGAACAAGTAATTACTCATCATGAATTGGTCAATCAATATGGAGGAGTTCATCCAACTGAAATGGCTCATATGCACAGAGCCACACTCGATGGGATGATTGAAAATGCATTGGAAAAGGTTTCAAATTTGGATTCTAATAGAGAAAGAGTTGTGGATTATGTAGCTGTAACTGTTGGACCTGGTTTACCTCCTTGTTTATCTGCTGGATTGGATACTGCAATGAAATATTGTGAGAAACTGAATGTTCCTGTTATACCAGTTCATCACTTGGAAGCTCATTTATTGGTTCCACTAATGTTTTCTGAAAATACTAATTTCCCTTATTTAGTGTTACTGGCTAGTGGTGGACATTGTTTGGTAGTTTTCAGTAGAGGAATTGGACAATATGAAATAGTGGGAGGAACTGAGGATGATTCGATAGGAGAAGCATTTGATAAAACAGCTAGATTGTTACAGGAAAGTATTGACTTTAATTTGAATGATTATGTCAATGAAAAGTTTGGAACACGAGAGAATTATAGTGGAGGAGCATTGGTTGAGAAATTGGCATTGTTGGGAGATTCGTCTAGTTATAATTTTCCAATTCCATTGAGAAAGGGAAACAGAAGAAATGATATTACATTCTCATTTAGTGGAATCAAGACTGATGTTTTGAGAACTGTAAGAAAGGAGCAGAATCAAGGAATTTCAAAGAGAGATCTTCATCATTTATTGAATAGATTGAGAAATAATGGATCAGTGAAAAATGTACAAGATATTAATGCTAATTTACAAGCATCGACAGATCCTTACTCGCGAGAGGGTAGTCAATCATTGTCTACCATTGAACTTAAGAATGAAAAACTATCTGAGGAGGTAGTTTGCAACATTTCGGCAAGTTTCCAAAAGTGTGCTTTTACTCATCTGATTGATAAGCTAGAGATGGCAATGCACCGATATAGAGCTAACGTGGATGAATATCCAAACAGTTTGATTGTCTCTGGGGGTGTTTCTGCCAATCAATATTTTAGACATGAGCTGACCAAACTATCTGACAAGTATGAATATGATCTCAAAGTTGCTCCAATGAAATATTGCACTGATAATGCAGTCATGATTGGTTATGCAGCATTCCAAAGGTTATTCAATGAATGTCACAAACCAGTAGAAGTTTGTGATAAGGAAAGGTACATTCCAAGATGGCCAATCACCACACTTTCAGACTTTTACACTTACAATAAATAATTAAAATTTATTAATTTGTATGAAACTCTTAAATTTCACACGGTTAATAAGTTATTCCTTAGCCCTCTTTAACCATTTCATCATGGCAAAAGCAACAAATCCAAAAACTGAGACAACACCAACCATTTTAAGTGTTCTCTTCATTAGTGATTCCTTAGGTGGGAAATCTTCATCATCAGACTCTACTTCTTCATCAGATTCTTCATTATTCATATTCCAGTTTGGAACACATCCTGATTCCTTTGGATTCAAAGCAACTTCTAACAGATCTGAAAAGAGTGTCTTGATATTCTTAAGACCATCCTCAGTAACCAAAGAGCATAGGTATGGAGGCCAAACAAGCGAGAGAGCTTCACAAAATTGTTCTGGAGTAACACTCAAGTTTTCTTGATCCACAAGTCCTAAATCTTTCTTAGTCAACATGTAAACACATGGAATGGTAACTTCCAATCCTCTTTGAATATGTTCAAGGAAACTGAATGAAAATTTATCACTACCATCAAAAACTAAGAGAGCAACATCACACTTTCCCATTAATTCTTCTGATTTTAACACGAATGGAATTTCCTTATCTTCGAATTCTGTAACTATTAAATGATATTCCCTATTTTGATACGTAATTCTATCAACCACCGAGTATTGAGTGGATTTTGTAGAGTAATGAGTATTGAGTGGTGGTTTTCCAACGAAATGTCTAAGAACTGAAGTTTTACCACAGTTAGAAGCACCGAAAATATAGCAATTGAGAACGTTTGGATAATCTTCTGGAGCCTTTCTAAAAAGTCTCTTCCTATTTGAAATTGTTTTGTATGGGAATTATTTGATAAACTTACTTTTTAACTTCAATCATTCCATCAACATTATTGCATCCCCATTCAAATAAGCAATGAATATATCTGTAACAATTTGTTGTCACAATTAATTGCCAAAGTGAAATCCAAGAATGGATATCAATCTTCTTATCCTCCACAGTTCTACAAGAATCAAAGTAATTGGTTGACATTTCATGGAATGGACATGCTGTTGTAAGACTAAATGCTTCATCAATATCATTTTCATCAAGAAGGCCGTCATTATCCCTATCAAATCTCTTGAAAATACTTGTGAGAACTTTCTTTCCTTCATCACTAAGAGTGATGAAATCTTCATGTGAAATATCTGGAGAAACGTCAGTACTATTCAAATGGTTAGAATAATTGAAAATTTCGAACAAGTATACATACATAATGTCATCAATATCGAGTTCAAGTTTTTCATTATAATTGAATTTTTGAATAAGGGTCCAAACAAGATGTTCATGTCTTGTTAAAATTAATGAAACCATAAATGACAAGAATGAATCCAAATCCATAGATCCATTTTCATCAATTACAACACTATCCTCATCAGTGGCGCCAATCAAATTCTTAATGGTAGAATTATCAACTAATCCACAATTTAACTCATCCATCAACCAAAATATTCTTCTCAGAGCCTTATGACATTGACTCGTTAAACGTTCCTCAATAAAATTATAAAGGAAATCTGCTGAAAATATGAAAATGTTTGACAAGTTGAAAAGTAAAATCTCAATATTTTCCCTTGTCTTGGAACTGTATTTAAACAATCCTTGATATCTGACATACTTTTCAGCTTGGGTTGGATCAAATAACTCTGGATCTTCTGTGTTTCTAAGATCGGTCTTGGTCAAAATTATATAAAGCATCTTTTTAGATTTCTCAACATATGGAAGCCATTCTTCATAGAATTTCTTGACACTTTCTTCATTGGTACTATCGATCACAAACACAAAAAGGTCTGCACTCAAAACTGGCATGGTAGAAAAAGCCTGTTGAATAGTCTTTTCAGAATTGGTGTCAATGAAATTAAAAGTAATGTCTTGATTTTTCAATTGAAGTGAAAATTCCTTTGGTCCTAAAACTCTTGGTAACTATATTTTCCAATATTGTTGATATTCCGTTCCAATGAATATTAAATCCATTATTATTGTTTGTCAATATGATTAATATTTATCCAATTAATTAATAAATCCAATCAAAATGAATTTTACATATTATTAACATCCAACATTATTCTTCAACATTGATACATACCTCTCCATCTCTATTTGGATCGAACACGATAGAATCAATCAGCGTGGACTTTCCACTGTGTTCAGAACCTAAAACAACAATATTAAGAACGCGACTGTTGTGCATTTTTCTTTTTAATTTTTCTTCTTTTTAAATTTGGCGGGTTTTCAATTCAATGAAGACACAATGAACAATTAATAAAAGGATTTACCAGCCTGTTACTTTACGAGTATTGTCTATGGAAGATTAGGTCAAGAGATTGTGGACAATTAATAGGTTTTATTGTTTAATTAATTTTTTCTTTCCGTTCAAACAGCTCGGGCTGGTTTGTTCACCATCACGGAATTATTGTCTTATTAGAAAAATCATGTAATTGTTGTACAACCTGTTGAGGAAGGTTGTTAGACATGATAGATCTCAATTAAAACATTAAAAATTGTAGATGGATTGGATTATAGACTATTTCAGGGAATATTCTTGTTAGGTTTGATTCAAAACAAGAAGAGAATTGTCAATTCATTCTATATTGTATTTCTAATTAATTTTTTAATCAAGGAGATTAACTGTGTAAGAAGAAGTAGAAGATTGATGATAGGAATTGATGAAAAAGATTATTCAAGAATTTCAAGTGTAGCAATACATTTTTTTCAATTATCAGCTTACCTTCTGCATTTTTGCTGGTTGTGCAAAGCTAACAACAATTAATTGTAAAAACTTATTCTGAACGTTGACCAAAAAATTAAAAAACTTGTTGAAAAAAAATAACTCACAATGACTGGTGGTCCAACATTCAGATTGCAAAAGAGACTCGCCGCTGACATTTTGTCTTGCGGTAAGGGAAGAGTCTGGATTGATCCAAACGAATTGTCTGAAGTTTCTCAAGCTTCCTCAAGAAATACCATCAGAAAGTTGGTTAAGGATGGTATCATCATCAGAAAGCCTGTTGAAATCAGAACCAGATACAGATGGAGAAAGAGAAAGGATGCCAAGCTCGAAGGTAGACACATGGGTATTGGTAAGAGATTCGGTTCAAAGGACGCCAGAAATCCATCCAAGCTCCAATGGTTGAAGAGAATGAGAGTCGAAAGAAAGTTGTTGAAGAAGTACAGAGACAACGGAAAGATCGACAAGACTTTGTACCGTGAATTGTACGCTAAGGTCAAGGGTAACGTCTTCAAGAGCAAGAGAATTTTGATGGAACACGTCTTCAAGGCTAAGGCTGAAATTATCCGTGAACAACGTATCAAGGAACAACTTAAGGTCAAGAAGGAAAAGCAAGATAAGATCAAGCAAAAGAGAGCTGAAAAGACCGAATCAAAGAAGAAAAAGATTCTTGAACACGCCGAACAAGCTGCCCAACAAGCCCAACAAAAGTAAATTGATTCACACATATAAAAAACCAAAATATTTAAAAATCAGTTATTTCTTTGTTTGACTTGTTCAACAAGAAAAGAGTGCCGATTAACAACACCAATGACGGATGAATCGGTAGTTGTACCAATAGATAGTTAAAATAATTATAATATTATTTAAAACATTGTTTAAAACATGAAATCACACTACTGATGATGGACCTGGAAAGTGAATGAAAAATATAAAATAGTATTTTATAATTTTTTCAGTTTCTTATTTTCCACCAATCATAAAGGCATTGCGGACTAAGGAAAGATTGGTTATCACAAGAAAATTCCGATTGAAAAGAATGAAAATGATTTCAAAATTTGGGCTACATTTTATTTAATAGCTCCACTTAATAATTTACAAAGGATTGCTAGTAGATGAACTGTTCTTACGATCAATTCTAGTCGTGATTGATCTCTAAAAATCGTTGGAAGTGTGTATTTATATTACTATTGAACAATTATTCAATTTGACCAGTCTTGGCATTGTTGAAAATTTGAACAAGAGCAGAACCAACGACAACGAACAAGAGGAAAGCCAAAACCAAAGGTCCGACTTGAGGAGATTCTTCAGTTGTGGTCTTCTTCTTATCCTTTTCACTATCCTTATCGTAGACCTTCTTTTCAAAACTCTTGCTGACTTGTTTTGCTCTAGAAATGTTAGCCATTGTGTATGTATTGTGTTGTTGATCGATTTTTTTTAATTTAATAATTTTCTGATTTTTTAACTTTGTGCTGAAATTTTCACTAGCCAAAGAGCATGACGTCATGCTTCAAAGAGGAGAAAAGCCAACAGAGAAAAAACTCTCAATACATCATCACCATTATCTAGGACAATGAAACTCTTGTAATCATTGTCACTTCTCAGCATCATGGTCAAAATAGTGCAATAGATAGTTAGCTTCATTTTGCATATGGTTGTAAAAACATTTCAAGGATGATTATTCATTAGTAATAAGAGTAAGATTTGAATTGAACCCAGCATCCGATTATCAATTATATAATATTTGTTCATGAACAATATGTTAATATGAGAACATGTGAGGAGGACAAAGAAAATTAAACTTCCAGAGTTTGGTCGAATCAAAAGTTTATGTTTTTAATGTTTTTTAAAATTAAAAAAATTGTCTCGAGATTGTTGGTTGATTATCATCTTTCGGAGGAAATTTTCTCCAACCCTTCTCAGTAAATCAATTAATTTAGAGATTAAATATAATGAAATCTTTTCAATCGGATTGTATTTGTCTTTCGAGTGATGACGATGATGAGGAAGTTATTTCTCCTCCTTCTCAGAAATTAAGTAATAATACACCCATTTCGAGTGGTATGAGTGGTGTTAGTAATAATAGTGGAGGTAAAAATCAATCTCCTTCATTGGTTACTCCTAGGAATCGATTATTAACAATGGATGAAAATACAAGATTTGGAATTTCACCTCCACAAATGAATGGAATTCTAATTGAAAGTTTGATTACTCCAGAGACACCTCATGGGAGATTTGTAAATACAAATTCTGAATGTGTAATTTTGAGTGATGATGAAGATGAAGGAACAATGATGTACACATCACCTCCAAAACAGCTTCAGGAAACTAATCATTTTTCGAATGGTAATCACACTTCTACAGGAACTTCATCATTTTCAGATTTTTTATCTTCTCCAATTTTGACTAATTTTACTCAGAGTAAGAGAACAGTTACAGAGCTTTTTGATAACGTATTGAGTGATGATGAGAGCGAGGAGGAAAAATCTTCTCCTCCATTGACAAGAAGCAACATTGTGACGGCTTCACCTTCATACTCACCTCTTGAATATAACAATATTAATTCCATAGAGGCATCACATTCTCAATTTGAAATTTCTCAGTCAAGTCCAAACTCCAGGCTCTTACATTTAAATAGCGATTCTCATACACAACATTCTATTGAATCAGATTTATTTTTTGATTCTCAGCATGACGCCTCTCAATCTTCTCAACCATTAAGAACTGAAATTTTTACTCCAGTTTCGTTTTCGGATGTGAAAAAGAAAGAATTTTTCAAAAGAGCTACTGGTGGCTTCAAAGATGAAATGGTAGTTGTAATAGATGAGGAGTTATCAAAGAGTGTTGGTGGAAAGAGTCTTATTACATTCATTGAAACTAATTCAGTTCCAAAAGAACAGGTCATTACACAAAAGTTACCCCTTGCATTTTCTGTTCAATGGAAAAGAAGATTACCTCTAGATTATAGTATATTTGTTCTACAAAAACAAAAGAAAAATCCCAACGATTATTTTCAATTTGATGCCAATGATATTGATAAGAAACATGTTGATTTTACAGTACCATATGTAGTTTTGAGAATAACAGGAGATATGTTTACTGATATTTACTTGAAATCTATTGAGATAGAATCAAGTATATTTGAACATTATTTGGAACAGGCTATAAAATCACTAGATGTGGAATTTAGTGAGTCTTTGAGCCAAAATTCAATATATTATTGGAACAAGAGATTTAAAAAACAATACATTATAATTGTACTAATAGAAGGATTACCAGAGTATTTGAAAAAAGTTGCTGCTGAGCAGTATTCTAATGCTTTAAACAAAAAGAAAAACGCTTCTAATGCTCCTACTAAGAATACCAAGGTTAATGCAGACGAATTGGAAAAGTACAAACTGAGAGCCTTATTCAAATTTAATAATGTCAAAATATTCGAAACTAAGAATGTAGAGGAAACAGCACAATATTTGGACGGATTCACAAAGATAATTTCTGATGCACCATACAAGAAGAGAACTAGCAATGTTGATTTTACTCAAATCCCATCATCTGGAAAGAATTCGGCAGATCAATGGATAACAAGTCTCATTCAAATACCAAAAATTACGGATAAAGCTGCAAGAGCTATTGCCAAAAAGTACAAATCCTTTAATAGGCTGATGCAAGGGTATAACAAATGTGAAGATACCACTGAAAAGAAAGAGCTTGTTAAGAATGTTGCCTTTCTCGATAATCCACAAAAAGTACTCGGTAAGGCAATTTCAAATGCTCTCTATGAGTTTTATTGTATCAATAATGATATTAGTTTTCATTTTACTCAGGAGGACTCTACAGCATTCAGTGAATGTGAGGAAGAGGCAAGTCAACATTCTCAGTATTCTCAACACAGTCAATCAAATAGTCAATCATTTAGTCAGGAACAAAGAGAACCACCTAAGAAAAAGAAAAAGGCTAACAATAATAGAAAGGACTCCACACCTGTAGCGTATGAAAATGAGGATGAGAGAAGTTTATTTGAAGATGACCTTTTTTAAGATAGAGTTTTATTCCTAATTGAAATTAAATTTGAAATTACAGAACTGAAGGTCTTCTTGAACTTGTCAGGGTTGATTCTCAAATAATCTCCAAATCTATCAACTTTGATAACTCTTTGCTCTGTATTGACCCACAATTCGTAAACATTTCCTTTCCAATACGATATTTGCTCAAAGCATCTCCAACTTCTTATCTTTGCTGTTTTCCATATTTCAATTACTCCAGATGTTCCCTCAGGCAGCCAAAGCGCATGAGTTAGGCCAGCACCATGATAACCGATCAATACATCAGAGTCATGCACCTTTTGAATTTGTTGGGTTAGATTGAGTTCAGCAAAATCAATTCTTTCAATAATAAATGTAGAATTAATTTTTGGATCATTTTGCAAATATGCCATCAACTCAGGTTCATTACCTATCTGTCTAGCCATATATCGATGATTTATGCCATTCTTAACGTATGGTCTTCTACTAATGAGCAAAACCTTTAACAAATCTCTTTTCTTGGGAATTCTTTTATGGATATCAAGAGCATGCATAATTCTATTTGAAAATCCATTAATAAGGTCAACTTTAGAGCTACAAATTCTTTGATCTTGTTTATCAAAATCCAAAATATGAGACATAAATTGTGTTGCATAACCAGAGTGCTGAAAGATTGCCCTCTCAAATCTCACAGTTGAATTGTTGAATTGTGATGCTTTCATCATTGGTCTTTTGAGTGAAAAGACAGAATTCCACAGAAAATCAAATGGACCATCATAATGATCATCCAATAAAACAATTTGAACTTGAGAACTGTTGAGTTGAAACATTTCAATCATGAGATAAGTGGCAAAGAAATCAGTCATTGAATGAAACATGTTCACATGCTCATCTTGTTCTCTCGAAACAAATATTGTTATACCATCATAGTATTGCGTGTCCTCTTCCTCCTTGAATTGTATTTCCTCAACAGTCCTAAAGCTGGAGAATATGTCCTTTCCAAAATCCTTTGAGAATAAACTCAGCTTAAAATCAGAAGTTCTCCTGCAATTTCCAATTAATGCACTTTCATTGTAATTAAAATATGTTGGTTTCTTACAAAAATAACCAGGTCTATATTGTAGACATGGTGCATGTACCATCTTGGAAAAGTCAAACACCAGATTGGAAACCTCACAAACTGTGTGAGGAGCTGTTGCAGGGGGAACATGTGTATTATTGTAACTGTAACATTTCATTCTGGTTGGAAATCTTTCCTCACCTCCTATTACGTATTTCCTCAATCTTTGGAATGTACTGGATGGAATCTCCTCACACAGTGAATAGGAATGTTGCTTCCAATTGTTTAAAAGTACACACCCATACTCTGTATCACATATTTCTCTTTGGGTTTTGGAAGAGTTTACACTTGTCTGCACTTGTGGTTCTTGATGTGATGAAGAATCATATGAATTACATGTAAGACTTGGAATTTGCTTTGAATGATTTATATTATTCCACTGAACATGGTGTTTCCTGTTAGTTGTTTTTGAAAAATCTTTAAATGATGATGGAATATTCATAGCTAAATTCATCGTAATGCCATTATTATATTGATCCTTACTTGCACTTCCTTCATTGAATGCTTCACTATTGACTGAGGAAGGCCTGGCTCCGAATTTTAATTCTTTAATATTGAGAACGTGATGATGATCATGATATTGTACTAGTAATATTGAGAGAATGAATAAGCAACATGCTATCAGATAATACTTGGCAATTTGTTGAATGTTGCTTAGGTATGACTTGCGAGTAGTTGGCTGGAGATGTTGCATCTTTCTATTTTCTTAGAGTTTTCTGTTGTTTATTTACCCAATTTATCACAGAACAGGATTTGTCACTACATTCACTACATTCGCTCAAAGCCTTAATTACATTCAACTTCCTTATTAAAACCTTAGATGCGATTTTTTTCCTTTCAGAACTCGGAACTGGAAGAAATCGCTTTAAATTTAATGTCAGTGTTTTTATTGGCGCGTTTTCAAACCGTAGTTTAATACCGTTGGGATTTAAATTTTCCAATTCGAAGAGGTCGAGGAACATCAATTCTGCATCTAAGATTTACTTGTTAGGAAATGAAGATAACCTTTTTTGAACCAAGATTTGAATCTTGTAGTTTCTTAACTTTCAAAAGATCTACTTCTGATCAATTGATTAATCATTTTAGAAAAGTGACCATTAATTCTATTTGGTTCTACTCTGAGATAATCACCATCTGCATCTGTGTTTGGCTACAAATCATAATAATTTTCTTTCCATAATGTTAATTGTTCGAAAGTCATTGAAAAAGACAAATTATTCATTCATTAACTAATTGAGATTGAAAAGCCTATTGTGCACTATCAGCAAGAACCAATTTGGAAATATCCGATTTTCAACAGATAGTGTATTAAAGAGTTCAGAGTGCATAGAGTAAGGTTTGGGCAAAATCGCACATTAAGGATTCTAGTTTATTGACTGAACATCTTCCTCTTTAGAGAGATAGTAGAGAGTAAATAAACATTCCACTCAGTGTGACTGCCACACCAATGATATTCAGTATATTCACACTGGACAAATCGTGCAAATAGACCAAGCTGTAAACAACAATGAGAACTTGTTTAAGGTTGGCAGTCAAACTGATGGTGAGGGGACTTGTCTTCTTGTTCGCTATCATATTGGTAATATTGAGGAAGAAGGCCATAATTGAAGTAACCACAGCCAAACCATAACCTTGCAACCATTGGACTTTATGATAATTTTCAGTAAGGGATTGCATCTCACCATTCATAAAGGCCACCACAAGCATACCACATGCAGAGTAGAAGGAAACAAATTTAGTCAATACAAGTGGATGCACATTTTGAGATTTCAAACATAAATTGGTCAAAGTTGTCTTCAATGCAGCAAATAAATTTCCAATCATAAGAATCAACAAGTCCACACCATTAATCTCAAAATTTCTGTACACTGTCATTGCAACTCCAAGTATTACGATCATCACCATTCCAATCTTTGATAAGGATGATTTGGTACCAATTAACATGTAACTGGTGATTAAAACAAAGGTTGGTGTGGTGCTTCGTACAATTTGTGACATGTGTAGTGATGTTCTCCAAACACTAACATTTCCAAACACTATATTTACAATAAAGATCACGATATAAATGTAGATTTGAGGTATTGCAGAAGGTTCAACATTGAAATCCTTGCTATCATTTTGAAATTTGATGGAGATGTGAGCAAGAATGCAACTCATAATCATGTGCATACATGAAAGGAGAACAGGAAAGTTAAACCCACCCCAAAAGACAGCCTTATTGGCAATGGCTAATCCAGAATTCAATAAAAACCATGCGAACACCCACAATCCTCCTCTAATGTTACTCTTTTTAAGAAAATCACTCATAATATTATTCATTGAATTCTCCTCCTCATATAATTGAACATTTGATGAAAATGATGCAACTGTTAAGGCTCCTGGTTTCTCACTAATAGAGGATCCACTTGAAAATCCCGATGATGGTAAAGCAGAAAACACAGGTAATTGTGTCGTTGTACTAGGTGATGATGTTGGTGATTTGAGCTTGTTTGCTCTACTGATGGCATTAGGCATTTGGAGAATATATTTCTAGTGGCTTGTGTTGTTTGTGGAAGACGATTTTCACCTGTTGATATGGCTATTGTTATGGAGGCAACGTTGCTTTAGTTTTTTAAAATAGATTGTGCATCCAACTTAAAGCATGTGATGAGATGCGAAGAGCCTTAATGTTCTTAAAATGGAACAGGTTTGGATTTTAGAAAAAAGTTGTTATTTGGTGAAAGGGAATTATTCACCATTTTATAGAGGTATTAGACTCATTGATTATTTGAAAACAGTTCTGTTTTTGAGGGAGGTTGAGGGTTGTTGGTGTGAAATGGTGGGTGAGGAAGGAGATGGTGAGCGAGTTGTTGTTGTGGTTGCTTTGGTGGCTGCCCTTTCTCTAGATTTTGAAGAGGGAAGGAGAAGTTGTTTGGCCAGAGAGTCTTTCTTAACAATTTCAAATGTGTAAGATTCAATAACGTGGTGAAAGTCCAACTCTGTATATGACTTGTTGGTCCACAGTTTGAGAAATTCTCTGCATATATCTGCATGCACCACTTGAATAGTAAATATTACACTTTGATTCTGATTGATATACTTGTTGAATCTCTTATTCTTTACTAAATCCATTGCTAATGTAATTTTGAGAATATAACTAATTGGTAGGAATTTTGAAACTTACCTATTTTGAGAAGATGAAGAACTGATATTACAAAAGGAAAGTGTTTTTTCTCGTCCTTGGAGAGTTGGTAAATCTTCTCACTCAACTCTTGATGATAGGTGCAAAAATAGAGTAGCATAAGGGCTCCAAATATTCCAAAACCTCTGAACTCTTCTTCAAGATTAGGCCCAAGAAATCCCAGTGTTTCCCACTCCGTTGTGATTGGAGATTTACTTTCTTTTTTGTCGTGAATTATAATTTCCTCATTCTCTTTTGAGTTATCAAAATTGATTTCCTTGCCCAACACAGCATGAAAAACCTCCATACAAATGTCGACATGTACTGAATTTGAATTTTTGAAAGGAATAGTCATGAGTGCAAGATAGTTCCTTAACTCTTCCAATTGATCATTTTCCAAAGTTTCAAAACGGACTCTCTTCTTTTTTGTAAGACAAAAACAGTAAGTTTCTGAAATTGTTGATAATTCATCTTTTTGTGAATACTTGATATTTTTCTTAATTTCATTCAATTCATCCTTTCCATTGTTTACAAAATAATCAAATGCAGTTATAAAGTCAATATACTTTGAAGGAATATGTTTCATTTCTTGCATTTCTATTAATTTAGATGTTGAATTAATTGATGATGCATTTGATATCGATCTTGATGTTTTCCCTTCGTCATGATGTAGTCCCAACTCCAAATCTTCCACAATAGCATGCCCAGCAATCTTATTCTGTATGAAGGCTTGCGAATTATTTGCTGAAATTATTTTGATATTCTTCTCTTCCGAAGGTGATATTTGTTTCGGAGAGGTACCATTCTCCACAGCTAGATTCGAACGTGAGCCTTGACTCTCCTCTATTATTGCTGTTGTTTTCTGATCACTCGAGGAAGGAGAAGCAACACTTGTGTTGCTATTACTATAATACATTTTTTCTGTTGTGTTTTCTTTTAAAATTCAGCACACCAAAGCCAAAGAAGGAAAGGCGGGAAATCAATCACTCACTCGTCAATAGGTAACAATAAAAAAAAGAACTGTTACCCTTGTAAAGAGAGAATTCAAAGAGATGATTCGTTACATCTTTCCGACTCATTTCGATAGTTGATGGTTTTTTTACTACTGAATGAGTCTTACGGCTGGGGTTTTACAGTATGAGAAATTTACAGTTTTATGAGCGCGCCAAATTTAAATCAAATGAAATTAATTTAAAAAATGAGTGGATATGCCTCATCCACATCGCTGGTTAATCCAATTTCTTTGAAGAGGGTCAATACGAGTTTGAATTATAAAGCCCTTACTTCTAGATTGGGGTTATCGGATGAGGATGAAAAACAAGAGACTAAGGAAACTGTAAATTTGGATGGAGAGGGATATTCAATTACTTTTGAAATACCTAACAAGAATGAAGGATGGAGAGTTGATAAGGAATATGAGGATGTTGATGCTTTTTATAATGCCTTAAGTGTTACTTCAACAAAAGTTACGGATATTGTTGGTGCTGGTCTTCCGACAAGAAAGACCGATATTGATATGAAGGAATTTGATAATTTAATGAAGGCGGAAATTGGAATACAATTTACTAGTAATATTGGATCATATAATCCGCTTGTAGCAGCAAATAATCGAGATAAAGCAATTAAGAGAGCAATTGAAATGCATAAGGAAAAAATTGTTGATGATATGAGTCGAAAATATAAAACAATGATGAAAAAAGGAGTATTTGATGAGGAAACAAACAAGATTAGAATTCAAAATATTGCTCGATGCTCTTTTTCAAAGTATGTGTGATAGACATTCAATTACTAATTCAAATATGTAGATTTGATCCATCAAAAATTAGAGACATTCTTATGGAAGATAAGAATTTTGACAAAAAGCTCTTGAACAACCAACATTTGAAACCGAGAAGTGGACCTCCTGGAAATATCACTCCCCGACAAAAAAGTATGCCTGGAAAGAAAGAAGACTTTCAATATGGTTTTCTCTCTGGATTGTACTCTACCAATGATGATGAGAAACCTCAGAACCCAAGCTCTGTATTAACTAAAGTTCCAACTGCTTCTGAAAAGAGGGTTTTCAAATCATTCGAGGAAACAAACCAAACCAAATTTTTGGATAAGATCTTGTCCTATAATATGACACCTGCCACAACACTTTCTAGAAATCCCTTCTTAAGTGAAGAGGTTAAGATGGTTATGGACAGGGATTTGGGAGATGTTGGATCGAATGGTCCACGAATTCATAAGGACAGAGGAAAACAGGAAAAACCTTCTGCAGTAGATAAAAAAGTGAAAGTAAAAGATGATCCCGTGTCTCTAAGGGATAAACAGAAGCACATTTTGGAGGCAAGAAAGAGAAAACTTTCAGAGGCTTCAAAACAAACAGAAGCTGAACAAATTAACACTACAGCTACTAAAATTATGGAGTTAACAAAATATGATCCTACAAATTGTGGTGAGAAGACTCTGACAGAAATAATGCCCTCTCTGGATTACAGTATTTCTCAAATGTTGGAAAAGATTTTGGAGTTGGAAGAACTTCAAGAGGAAGAGGACATTTTATGTTATTTAAATGTAAAACCAGCATTCGCAGATGGTGGAATTTTAAAGGACAACACTTTGGATGCGTTCTTATATGGAACATTGGATACGAAAACAGATCCAGATATATTTTCTCAAAGAGAACAATTCTTGATGCAAGAATTCAAAGAATTCAATCCTAAAGAAATTGAGAAACAGAAACAAAATCTCACCCAAGCTAACATTAAGAATACCAAACTTACTATGGATACTCTTGAGAGATACAAGGAAGAGAAAAATCAAGGCCAGTTTGAGCAGCTTTTCTCTGCAAAGCAAAAGCTGATGAAAGACGAGGAATGGCAAGAAAGAGACAAGTACATAACTGAAATGTGTCAATCATTGGAAAAATTAATTGTAGATATGTGTAATGAAATGAAAAAGATGAACGAAAACAAATTAATTAGTGCTGTGACTCCAAGATATTCAGTTTTGGATGATATGGCAACAACAATGGTCACCATTTTGAAGTGTATTCCATTTGATTGGAATCCAAGAACAAAAAGAGAGTGGTCTCAAGGAGCTGAAGTTCTGCTCATGTGGTCCATGAAACTCTCTTCAACCCTTAACATTAATAGACACGAGCACATAATCAAATTAGCCAAATTTTATGTAAATATTTTCTTCGAGAATGAGGTTTTAATGAATAATTTATTCGAGCATTACAAAGAAGTAGTTATTGATGAAATTAAGAAACCAAAATTGAATACTAATGAAGATGACGAGGAGGAAGAGTTAAAACTTCCAAAGATTAATACATTCTCTGAGTGGAAAAATCCTGATGAGGATGATGACGAGGATGACAGCGATAGTGGAGAACGTATGTCTCCAACTATGCTGTCTCATAATTTAGAGCTCAAGAGACGAAGAGTTTCAAGAATCAAACATGTTTTATTTATTATTATTAATTATATCAACCATTGTAACACATATACACAGGATGTGTTCAAACAAATAGTTCAAAAAGAGAAACAAAAATTCAAATTTGAGAAGGCAATTAAAGAAAAATCCTTGAAAGAAACTGGAAAACAAGAATTAGTACAATCATTCTTGGAAAAACGTGGCCTTTTGGATATAACAAACTATATTAAGAATACAGATTGGAAACACGACAGTGACACGATGGAGGAAAATCTTCCAAGAGATCACATTGACACTGAAGTTAGAAAGGAGAAGGAAATTGATTTATTTGCGAATATAATCAAACGAGAGAACGACCACAGGACCAGTAAATCAAACTTGAAAGGAAGCAAGCATAATAAGTCAACACCAAGAATTCCTACAGATCTTCCAACTTCAAGATCAACCAAATCAAAAGACCCTGTTCTTAAAAAGACTCTTGTTGTTGGTGATATTCCTGAAAAACCACCTCTTGAATATCAAAGATCTTATTATATTGAGCCACCAAAAGGAATACCTTATTTCCCAACTAAAAGCACAAACGAACCAGTTATTTCTTCGAAAACAAAGATCGATACGACACAACCTATGCCCGATATAATGGCCTCTGAGAATAGTTTAATGTTTACTGGAAGTGATCATAGTAATGATTACGCGGATGAGAATCAATCTGTTACCAAGAGCAAACAAACAGACGATTCCATTCTAGACCAAATCTCTGATATTGAACATAAGAGTTTATCTCGACAAGGAAGTAATACATTTAGTGAGGATGCTGTTATGCATGAAGATATGTCCAATGACAATGAAGAAGACCATGATTTAGAGGTGAAAGAAGATCATCAGGAACCAATTGCTCCAACTCCAAAACCACAATATCATCCAGAAGAGGTGAATATTGGTACACCTGGTAGTGATGCTATTAGTTTACATTCCATGAATTCTGACTCATCCATGATCAGTACAAAGAGCAATGACCATGATAACATTAAGATTAAGAAACCATCATCTAAAAAGAGAACTACCCCTGATGTTACTTCTATTCATGAGAAAAAATCTAAGAATCTTAGAAGGTACACTCTTCAAAAGAGATCTACAAGTAGTGCTAGTGGAACGACAACCAATAGTCAAAACTCAAGGAATACATCGAGAGCTTCAGAGAGAAACGAAACTCCACCTCCGGTTGAACCTAAAAAATCCTCATCCCCTGTAAAACTAACAGCTAAGAATTTAGAATTATCTAATCAATTGAACCAGTCAATGACAACCCCATTATCTGAAGCTGATACAAATTCTGATATTTTAAGAGTGTCTATTAGATCTTCCACTTCAATTATTTTGAAGGATGATAGCCCAAGAAGTACTAAAACTCCAAGATCTCGTAGGTCTTTACCATCTTCAGAAAAGAAAAATCCACATTCTGGAAAATGGGCAATCAAAACATCCATTTTTCAAAATATGTTCGACAACTCAACTCTCTTCACAGGTGATGACTCGCCTAGGAGACTCGACAATAATGTTGATAGATTTGATAGTGTTACATTATTGGAAAAGTTAGAACAAGTTTGGGATGATTTGTTAATACCAGCTGGCTTTAAAATCAAATTATACCAAAGGTATGGTAGCTCTAAATATATTGGTAATGTAAATTTGATGAAAGATGCCTACAAGACATGGAAACAGGGAGCAACCGTTGTTGCTGCAAGAGAAACCGTTCTTATGGAGTTGAAAGAATTTGAGAATACCCTAAACTCAAATATTCAGAAGCTGACCACTTTTTCTGATAAGGTACAAGAGCAAAAGCTCAGATCAACTCTGTTCAAGAGATTAAGCATACTTGGTACCGAATGTGAAAAATTGAATAGGAAATTGAAAAAGGATCACAATGACAATCTCAGTTACAATAGTGAAATGCCATATATAGATAAGATGAAATACGATTATCTGTCAATTATTGCTGGAATTGAAAGTCTTACCGAGAAAAATCAACCTATTGATGTGAACACTTCAATAGAACGACTCAGATCTCCAAATAAGAAAACAGCTGATGTTACAAAGGTAGATTTAATCTTAAGTTACGAGAAATAAACTCACATAAGGTGTGAACGAATTCTTTCTTGCTTCAAAAGTACATAAATAATATTCACAACATACCAATAAACGAAAATGTACAAGAAGGAATAATCTAACTTGTCACCCATATCTAACTTTAAACCAAACATGTAAAAGAAGAATAGGTAAAATGCTAAACATGCTCCAAACATAATGCACTTTCTGGTAATTGCCTCATTATTACGTTGCATACTAAAGAAATGCTTCTTAATCTGTAATGCATGAATATTTGTCATGCAATAAATAAATCCAAATATATGAGCTGGAATGAAAATCATTCTCCAATTTAAACCCATCACAATATCTCCAAATACATAACGTAATACCAACATCTTGTCAAGTTTGAAACAAATGAGGGCAACCTGGAACAATAAGACAGTATTAACAGCTCTGAGAGTTTCCCACTTTTTCCTTTTCAATATTTTCTCTCTTTGTACTTCATAGACAAAGTAAAAGAACTTTTGTGCCATGATAGTAGTTAGTAAGGGAAACATTGAAACTGTATGTCCCCAGTCAAATATTCTCATAAATATAGGTATGCAGAAACTAAAAGGAACAGAACACAATAATTGAGTTTCAAATGTAACATCCAACAAATAACTAGTGGCATTAGTCATTGAAAATATGAGCAATCTTTCACTTTGGTCATGATATGAAAGATTCACATGTTTCCTGTACACCCAATAACATAATACCAAACAACTAGCATGCCCAATAAATACAGGACCATAGCAAGCTAATACATAAATAAAATAATAAAATCCTAAATTCTCAATATTCTTGAATTTTCCTTCATCATCCATTAATAAAGGAAATAAAATCGAAAATATCAAAATACCAATTGAGAAGCACCAATAACTGATTCTTTTCAATGCTGGTAAATAAGTTACCAATCTGTTCAAGTTATAATACATGTCTATTAATTCATTCTTTCTCGTCTTTTTTTCGAATCGTTGTGAGGCTTTGTATAAAAACAATGATCGATAACCTGATCCTCCAGGTTCAGACTTTGGCGATTCATCAAAGTCTCTTTCTTGTAGCATCCATGATAGGTATTCTTCAGAGAGATGTTTTTGTCTTGGATTTACCACTCCTCCATCCTTATCAAATATTGTAAACTCATTCATTGTTAAACGGTTAGTCACACCTTGAGTTTCGTCAAATGAATTTCTGGGAGAATATCCCTTCAAATGATAAAAAGGAGACCAAATCTCGCAGTTATTAGTAAATTGATACCATTCTCTTGATACAAGTTGACAATTCAAAAGTGTTTGAAAATCTACAAACGTCAGAATCAAATAACACATTTCTGGTGGTAATAATCTCAACAGACAGTTAGCATGTACATCATCAGCATCCCAACTATCCAAATCTCTATTAGCAAGTGTTGTACAAGTTTGATGATAGTAATTTTCAATCATAGTTGATTGGGATGTTGTCTTTTTCAAATCCTCATGATCCTGTCCATCATTATTATTATCAATTTCCCTTGCAAATGAACGTATTGAATGTGGTCGAAGAATTGTTCTCTCCATCTGATGATCTTCTTCATCATCACTCCAATTCAACATTCCTCCGAAAGACAAGGCTGGTGATGATTCATCATCAAACACAGATGAAGAAGATTCAACCGGTTGAAAGGCTCCTCTTATCATCAACACAATTAATCAATAATATATTCTATCTATAAAAATTCCAAATTAATAATAACACAAATCAGAGAGTTTGATGTTACTTTTGAAGAAGAATTTGAAGCCTTTTGTTTTTTTGAATATTCTTTTTAAATTGATTGTGAGCATAAGGGAAAATACTATTTGGCGCTCTTCAAGCAATTCGAAAAAAAATCTTAACGTTGTAGCCAAAGACGTTGTAGTTTAATGTCCGTTTATTACCATCGAGCAAACATCTTATTCGTCTTTTAGCATCGGAATGATTTCTATGGAGAATCCACTTTGCATTCCTTCATTGTTGTATATTGTATCCAGAGTACCTGATGGTTTAAGGAGGTGGTCCAAATCAAAGGATCTTCAGTAAGAGGTTAGATTTATTACGGTAAACAAAGTAATGTCAATCAGTAATCGATTATTATTCTCATTCTAACAATAAGGGAATATCTTATTGGACACATTAAGGAATTAATACACATCTTTCGAATACCTTTCTCAACCACTTCCTAAAATGTAACTCACATTTTGTTCATTGTCAAGTGGCAACAATTCGATATCCGGCAAAATACCAAGCGATTTGAACTGACATTACATCAGGCCACTATTATTTCTAAAATTATACAATTACACAATTGTCCAAAGGTAGAAACAACCACGGTTTGTAAACACATTTCAAATAGTGTAATCAAGGAAACCACATTACCACCAACACAAACATAAGGAATTTCTGTAAAGTTGTATCTGAAAGTGTGAGTGTTATCCAATTAACTTGGTTGTGCCATCATTCTTTCAGTAACACGTGATGGCCCTTCCAAACTCCTTCTTTCCTTATCCAAATTTTTATAGCCTCTTTCTTCGTGCGATGAAATACGTAAAAAAAAGAAACATATTCACACAACAGAGATTCTTCCACTTTACATCAACACTACAAATATCACACACATTGATACGGAAGAAAGGAAGTTGAACAAACAATTCACAAATTAGGCTCGAATATCTGAAAAAGATTCACTTCAGCAAGGGTGTACATATTCGAAACTACTGTTTTAGTCAGAAAGAAAACAATTTTGCAATTTTGATAGGCTTTTCAACAATGATACCAGTTGTAAAAGCAGGAGATGTTATAGAGTCAACAGAGACTATCATCAAACAAGGAGCCTTTAAACAAAAGAATAGTTTATTCTCATCATGGAAAGTACATTCCTACATGTTTGATGGTAATTGTGTTTACAGAGTGAAACATCATCCTTCGAGTGGAAAAGTTGAGGTGAGAGAAGTATTTCCACTCAACACCAATGACAATATTGAAAGATATGATATTGTCGTTACCCAAATAATTTCTTCCGATGATATGACCGGAAAGAAGAACACAATAGGTTTCTTCTTTGATGAAAATCCAAATAAGAATATTTCAAGGACACCAAAAATCGACGATGAGCATGCAGCCAAAATTATAGAGGAAATGGATGAGTTTTTAAACGAGAAACAACACCCAACAACAACAGCAAAATCATCATCAACAATAGATAAAAAGAAACTGTCACCAAGGTTTCTTATGGCAACATCAGCAGAAGAAAAGAAATTGTGGATGAATCTTCTTAACCAATACTTGCAGAAAAAACCTCAAGTACCAACAGCTTCAGATGCTCTCAATAATCCAACATCAACCCAAGCAAATGCCATTTTATCAACTATTGAGGCCATGATTGATATTGTTATTGTGAGTGATGCTTATGGAACTATAACAGCTTACAATACACAAGCAGAGAGCTTTTTTGGATATAAGAAAAAAGATATTATTGGAAAGGATATCAAAATCCTAATGCCTTTCGAAGTTGCTAAAAATCACGATGAATTTATGCAAAGGTTTAGAAAAACTGGAAACAAACATTTGATTGGTAAACCTCGTGCTCTTCCTGCCAAATTATCTAATGGTCAAGTGGCAGAAGTAAGATTGTCTCTTGGAGAAATTCCAGGCAGTACTGATAGAGACAAGTACAGATTTATGGGTGTTATGAGAAGACAAATTCAAACACCAAAAACTCCATCAGAACCATCAACACCACAAGGAAGTTCTCCACCATCGCCCTTTTCATCTTCTCAAATACCAACAAATAGTAACAATAGATCTGGAAATAGATTAATGTCACCTAATAGCACCTCCTCTTCACATGCAGAGGCTGATGTGATTCAACAACGTCTCAATGTACCTTACTCAGTGGATGAGGTTAAGGTATCTAAAAGTAGTGAAATTAATCAAGAAATATTCGAAGCTCATCATCATATCTATGATTTATACAAATCCATTCATGGAACTCTTCAAAAGTATGGTCATAGTGTAAATTCCAGCTTTAAAAAGGATTATTCTTCTTTGGAAAAGAAATTTCACATTCTAGAGGAAAAGATGAAACATTTGGAAAAATCTAACAGCCACATGCTTGCAAATATTCATCATCAAAAGAAAGTTATTGATTTTCTTGAATTGAAAACAGATACTTTATATAAGGAAAGGAAGGAAATCAAGAATCGAGAACCAGAGTTAAAGACCTCATCCTCATCTTCTGCCCTATTTAATACACCTCTTCAAAAAACTTCAGGTCAAAAATACAAAGTACCAACAGATACAACTCTTTTGGATGTTATTAAAGGAGGCTCTCAATCAGATTTGGCAGTTCTTTCACCAAGAACAAATAATTTCATGATTAGTCTTGCTAATCTTGCTGGAGCTGAGCAATCAGAGTTTAAGGATGTACTTCAAAACGATTACGCTCTCAAATATTTCATGAAATTTGCAAGCAAAGAACTCTCACTGGAAAATGTGAAATTGTATATTTATTTGACAAGGTTTTATTTACCTGAAGCTAAGGTTGATTTGAAAAAATCCAAGATTATGAGACAGTATGTGATAGATACATTTATTATTCATGGTGCTCCTTTTGAAGTCAATTTATCTTCAGTTCAAAGAAAAAAGCTCCTTGATAAATACTATAAACTTAGAGATTACGAGATGGAAAAAGAAAGAGAAGAAAAGCAATATATGGAAGATTATATTCATAGAACTTCATATCCACAACATAGAAAGGCCAGCACACACTCAAATGGCGACGAACATGATGAGGATGCCCTATCTGATGGAAGTGACTCTGAAATGGAAGTATTGTTTCTGGATAATGACAGTCATCATGGAGGAAAATGCAAATCAAAGAATCCAAGTACTTCAAGTACTGGAAGTGATGATAATTCCAAATCTGACCCTTATGGAAGTAATGTAACGAGTGAAGGAAGCAACTCGAGTTCAACCGGTGACAATACAGAAGATGATTTGGCAACATCTCATGATATGGATGAGGATGGCCTTGAAGATATGAGTTTCCACGAAGATCATACCTTCCTTAAAAGTAATAGAAGAAAGAGTGATTCCTACTTGCAATCTGAAATATCAGATCAAGTTAACAAAACATCACCAACACTAGCAAGCTTAATGTACGATTTGGAAGAAGGAGAAAAATTCTTTGATGATCTTCTCATCCAAGTAAAGGGAGTCATGATGGATACATACAGCAGATTCCTCAGATCAGAAGAATATAAGGAAATGAAAGAGGAAGTAAGGCGAGTTCACAAATCAGAGATGGAAATTGTCAAACTCAAACTCAATTCAACAATTGAGAAATAACAACATCACTTGATTTCGAACAACAAACTTTCAACTTTTTCTGAACCCAACAAATGTAGAGGCGAATATTATTTAATGCTCCGAAACCAAATCAATTTCTCAATCAAATCTAGAAAAAAAATGGCCACAACTCAAACCTTCCACGAATCCATTCATCACGTTAAAAACTCTAGTAATGAGACCATGCTCGGAATACTCCGACAAGGTGCCAATGAATCATCATCAGCTAGTACTACCAAAAAACCAATTCTAATTCTTTGTCATGGTTTGGCTTGCCATAAAAACTATTTAATATTCCCTAAATTATTTGATGAACATTTTGATACATTTAGATTTGATTTTTCAGGTAATGGAGAAAGTGAAGGTGAATTTTCCTATTCAAATTATTATAAAGAAGTTGAAGATCTTCACTCCATTGTCATGTATCTCAAAGATACTTTGAAATATGAGCAAATTTCACTTTGTGGACATTCGAAAGGAGGAAATGTTGTTCTCTTATACTCAAACAAGTATCCCCAATATGTACAAAATGGAATTGTTGTGAATTTATGTGGAAGATTTGATATGAGTAATACTCCAATTAATAGATTCACTGAAAGTGAAAGAGAAGAATTGGCAAAGAGTGGTCGTTTCTTATGGAAAACTTTCACCATTGGTGGCTCAGTAACTGTTTGCTCAACTGATATTATTAAAGAGCTTTATGTTACAAAGCAAGCTCTTGAAGAACGTGGGAAGGTCGATACCAAGATTCAATTACAAGAAAATTATCCATTGCGTGTCTACTCAATACATGGTGATAGAGATTCAATGATTCCATTCTCAGATTCTCAACAATTCCACGAATTTTTCAAAAATCAAGTTAAGGAAAAGAATCTTGGTTCTAAATTTTCTCATGAACTAATTCCTATGGATGGATCTGATCATTTCTTTGTTGGTTTTTACAATGAGCTCCAAAATATTGTTACACAATTAGTGAAAGAGTACTACAAATTTTAATTCAATATATTTCATTCTTATCTCAATTCTTAGTTTCTCAAATATTTGAAATGAGTGATTTACATCAAACTCATGCATAACCGTTTCTAGCGAGTTACAATTTTAAGAATGTCTGTAACGTTTCAAATTTAGGTTGCTGAATGGATTTTTCGATTGCATTTAAAGTTTCGTACAATCACTTTTGTTAGGACCTCGCAGGAATTTATTTGTTGTGTTAGAGTTTCCAACATTTTGAAAAAAACAAATCGGTGAACTTTCCATATATATATTTTAATAAAATTCTATAAATGTACAACTTTATATTTACAATTTTCACAGTAACATTCAAATTCATTATTTTTTCCATAATAACCAACATAGAATTTAAATAATAATTGTGATATAATAATAACATATTCAAAATATGGTAATGAATTGAAAATTAAATAAATTAAAATACATAAAAATGATAAAATACAAAATAATGATAATAATTTTTCCTTTTTTTGACTTTCTAAATATATTAATGCAATAGTTGCTGTTATACAAAAAATAGAAAGTATAATATATGAAAATGTAATAAATTTACCAATTATAATACATGAATAAAATAATAACAATGGTAATATAACTATTAATAGTAATAAAAAATGTCTAGTTTTGGAATATTTTCTAATAGCAATTAAACAAACATCTAATAAAGAAATTCCAATTAAAATACTAATTATTAATCCAACATATATTTCATATTTAAAATAAATATAATTTCCATGAATAGTATTTTCTATATTTGTATTATTTAAATAATTCAATTTATAATAAACTCCACCATAGAATAATGTAACATATGAAATTGTAAAACTGATTAAAGATAAATACATAATCTGTGAACTAGCTAAATGATTTAAACTTAATCTTAATGGAAATGTTGTAAATCTTCTTTTATATTTCCAATACCCAATTAAGGAATATACAGTAAATGGTATTATATGTATAAAAAAGGGAATATACATAAATTGAATTGAAAAATTAAAATCATAAAAACCAAATAAACATAATAAAATAATTATAATTCTCATTATTGGTACCATTCTAGATTTTTTATCAAATAAACTTCCATAATATTTTTCATAATATTGTAATTGTATTTTTAATTGTGAAAATTCATAATTTTCCTTTTTTGTTTGAATATATACATTTCTATCCAATTTATTATTCCATTCTTGTTCTATTAATAATTTAAATAATTTACAACTTGATAAAATTGATGAAATGGTTGAATTTTGTTTTTCTTCATTTTGCCAATTATCCATCAAATCTAGATTGGATGTCATTGTTGTTGATGAAAATAATGGAATAAAACTAAATATTGATGAAATTATTTCCGGTGGAAGATCAGATAACAATGTTTGATCATCATGATATTCATTATCTTGTTTGTTATTGTGAGAACTAATAGATGAATGTATTTCTCTGCTCGGATCATAATCTAATGATGCTAAATGATCGACAAATTGCTGTTGTTGTTCATTAATAGATGATGAAATTGCTTGTTGTTTGGATGATATCATTTTTATTTTTTTATTTTTAAAATTAGAATTTTATTTTTTTTAATATTTATTAAAAAATGGGGTCAAAACTTTGATGATTTATTCAATGAATATAACGATTGAAGATGTAAAAATTGAGTTTCTGGTAGATGTGAATGTATAGTTTTTAAAATAAAAATTTTAATAATTTATTGTGAGAGATAAAAGTAAAAATTAATTCTGAATGCGTCGACCGGGAATTGAACCCGGGTCACGGCGATGGCAACGCCGTATTCTACCACTAAACCATCGACGCTTCTTATATTCAATCATAAGTTCGTGACTATCAGAGTTCAATGCCAGTATGAGAAAGTATGCGAAAGGAATAATCTACTTGCAGCAAAAACAGATACTAAATAATTGAAATGTATTTTCTTTTAATTGAAAGTAAAAAGTAAAATTTCACGAACATTTGAAGTTCCATCCATAATATCCTTAACAGTTTCAATCTTTACATTGGAACCTTCTTTTTGTTGAATAAATTCCTTAAATTGTTTAGTACTTCCACCACATCCAAAATAATATGATTTAGCTCCACACAATCTATATCATTACAATAAATTATTAATATTACAATAAAAAACATACACTTTTCCACCCTTCTTTAAAGATGATTTAATAGCTCTATATAATCTATCATAGGAATCAACATGATAAATAGTATCACTCATTAAAATTAAATCAAATTTGTTCAATTGTTGTTCAGACATGAAACCCCAATCACCAGAATAAAATTCACATCTTTCCATTGTTTTATCTAAAAGTTTTTCATCATTCAAATTTACTATAATATTAGGTATTGTTAAATTTTCAATAACATCATGATTCTATTAATATTATTAATATTAATATTACAATATGGAATAATATTAAAAAACATACATAATCTTGAAAAGCACAAATATTTGCATTACAATATAATAAACAATGAATAGAAGGTAAAGAATGACCACATCCTAATTCTAATATATTCTTATTCTTTACATTTTCTTCAACAAAATTCAAATTACTTGTCATAAATTCAACTAAATCTTCCGAACATTCCCATAATTTAAATCCACCTTCATACTTATATTTAACTAAATCTGTATTTAATTGTTGAGAAACATGATTTGAAATAATTGATGTAACATTAATAAATTTTAAATGTTTCCAAGTATGAACATGTTCATTATATTGTTTTCTTGTATTTAAATCTTTGTAATTAATGATTTTAAATGGTTCCAATTCTACATTATCCTTCATTTCTTCATTCTTTTCAATGGTTGGAGCAAATTTACTCTCTTCCGATGAATTATTCTCGTCATCATCATCATCACTATCATTATCATTAACCATGAAATTAAATTTAAAAACTGCAGAATCCGATGGTGGCATTTTTTCAATTTCAAACCTCAACAACCAAACAGCCTTCATAAATTGATTGAATAAAGGCTTTCCAAAGAGAAGCATGCTAAAAACAAGGCTTTGATTTTAGTGGTGAAAAGCCTTTTTAAAAAAAATGTTTTATCATCAACAACATGGTGGTTCTTCCTCCTCCTATTCGCATCATCAAATGGTAGCCGATTCATCATCATCGGATAGAGAAGAAAATTCTATTACATTATATATTAGTTATTCGGATTTATTAAATAATAAAACAAGTGATAACGAACATTTGTTTAATATTGATATTTATTCAACAATAATTAATGCCTATTTGGTATTTTCTAATATTAAATATAAAATTAAGATTATGGAACCATCATGTATATTATCATCTATTTATGCTAATCATATTTCATCTAACGATATTCATTTTCCAATACTTGTTCATTCTTATAGTGAAAATAACGTTGTAATTTATGGAATGAATGAAATTTTAAATTACTTAAAAAGTAAAGGAGAAAATTTAGATTCAAATTTGACATTGAATGAAAATACTTCAACAAGTTTACAACAAATTCAAACAGAAATTGAAGCTTTTATTAATATTGTACATGAAAAATGTTTACCTTTTTATTTACATTACTTTTGGAATAGAGATGATATTTTCAAATCCTATACAAAAAGTTTATATTTTAGTAACATGTCTGTTATTTCTAGATGGATTCATACTTATTCTGATAGAAACAAACATGTTCAACTTTATAAAAATTTAATATCAAGTAAAACTTTTAAAAATTTAGATGAAGAAACAATGAATCATTTAGGTTTAATAACTCATGACGAAAAAATTAGTGTTAAATTATTTATTGAATGTTTGGATTCTTTAAATATGTTATTAGGAAGTGATAACAAGTATTTTTATGGACATAATCCTTCCACATTAGATACAATTGTATATGGATATTTGAGTACAATTTATCATACATCTATTTCTATTGTAAAATCTAATTCAAACGATTCATTAGAAAATAATTTAGTAACTAAAATTTTTAATAGATATCCAAATTTGAAGAGATGGTTAAGTACTATACATGATGAATTCATTTATGAATCAAATCAATATTTCATTCAATATCAAAATAATTTATCATCAAAATCACATGATTCTTCTTCTATGGTTAATAATATTACACCAATTCAAAATTTAAATACTAAAAGATCAACAACACATCAACTTGTTCCAGCCTTACCAAATAAGAGAAAATATTTAACATTTGTAGTTGTTTCAATAATAGGATATTTAGTCTATCTTTTAAGACATGTTAGAATTCAAGTGGAAAAACCAACTTCTAATTATCCAAGACAGGAAATTTATTACTATGACAATCAATATGAATTAAAGAAATAAAGTTAGTGAAAATTATTTGATTCACTTGTTCGTTAGATTAGTTTTCAAGTTAGTAAGCTAGAGGAAATTATAGTTTGTAGTTATACTATGTGCAGAAACTGCCACATCTTCATCGAGTGGAATTTCATTAGTGTCTAACATTAATTGTTCAAGATTTTGGTCATCAGTGTGTAATCTTGGAATGTTGGTTGGGAAGGTCGGCGATGATTCACTCCTATTTTGACCCAATGATGCTGTTGAAAATGTGTGTTGGAAGGGGTAATGTTCTAGTCTCGAATTTAATTGTCTCCTATATTCATTGCACTGATTCCTCAATGAGTCTAATGCTATTTTAACAGAAACAGGATCAGTCAAGTCAATATCATCAACATCAGCATCTAAACTGTGCATGCCTCCTCCACCTCCTAAATGCGAAGACTTTCCCATAATATTACTTATATCTTGAATCTTATCTCTAATGGCTGATTCAATTTCTTCTTGGGCAAGATGGTATGGTAACTCGAATTGCCCATCTTTAAGACTATCAAATAGAGGTGCTGTTATTGAGTACTGTTGTCTCAAATTATTCAACTCTCCATTCAATTGTTTTAATGACCTCTTGAGTTGTTGATTCTCTGCAAGAATTTCTTGTTTTTCATCTTTAAATGCTTCAACTACATTTTGATAGAGAATATCTTCATTTCTTTCCAAACCATGTTTCCAAGCAAAAGATTTGTTATGATGTGGTGAAAGTGTTATGGCTGGTGATGAAATTGCAGGATGATTTGTTTGATTAATTACATCTACTTTGCTTGAATTTAAATTACTTCCATATAAATTCATATTGAGAAGCATATTCAATTTGTGTGTCATTTGTTGCTTTAATTTATCCATTTCCTTTTCCATTTTTATCAGATTGTGTTCATATTGATCACACTTTTGTTGAATATTCTTATTTTGAGATTCCAAAGCTGTTTTTGCTGTTTCCAATTTTTTCAATTTCATTCTTGATTCCTTTTGAAGTGTTGTATGTTTTTGTTGTTCGAGGTTGTAAAGTTTTTGTAGTTCAACAATTTTTTGTTCCAATTTGTTATTATTCAACTGAAGAGCACTTTGATCACATTGTAATCTTTTAACTTTGTCTTGTAATGTAACTTTTGAAGCTGAATCATCTTCTCTTTCCTTTAAAAGGTAATAAAGTACATTCACAACAAAAATATCATTATCAGAGTTATTAAAATCCAATCTAAATGAATTCATAGCATTAGCCTCACTATAAAATGACATTAAAGGCAATAAAGCCATAGTGTTACTAATCTTATTGTTGATATATTCCATACATTGAGGTAATTGTTCTCTATTTGATAAAAAGATACCAGTAGGTTTGTTCATTGAATAAGATTTGAAGGATGTATTAGCAAAAGGTTGAGAAGATGGTAGGCCACCACCATACATTGAGGATTTGCTAGTGTTATTAAAATTAGATGTCTGATGAGTAAATCTACTATTATTTAATTTACTATTATCCAAATTGTTATTATTATTCATTGTATTATTTAAAACATTATGTTGTCCCGAATTTAAGAAGGAATTATTACTCATCATAGGTTGAGAGTTAATACCTGCTGTATCAAATACATCTTCATCATCATCATCATGGAACATTGATAAATAATTATTATTTCCTCCCAGTGATTGTCTCAAATTATTACCACCACCAAGCATACTATTATTATTGGAATTAGATTTCATAATACTGTTATTCAATGACTCTCTTGTAGGTTCATTCCTATTCAAATATGATGATACTTGATTATTTCCACCACCACCGAATAGTAAGTCCTGATTATTGTTATTATATACAAAAGATCGAGAAGTGTTGTTATTGAACATTTTTTTATGATTTTTATTTAATTTAAAAAAGAGCGGGAAAACTTTTAACGAACATAAACATCATCAAGCCTTATCAAAAAGTTAATTTAATACTTAACAAACAAGAATATTTTGTTCTTCAATATTCAAGTTGGACTGTTCTCTTAAGAAAACTTGACAGTTATTATTTTCCAATTTTTGATGGAAATTAAAATAACCAAATCACATAAAAAAATAGCTCCAAGAAAACAAGCCTTTCATCATGTCCTCTATGGAGAGTGTTCCCGAATCACCAAATATTATTGAAGACGAGGGTGGTGAAGAAGAAAATACCAAACAAGTTTCTACTACCACAACAGAAGAAGAATCTGCATTAGCAATGTTAAATAGGGATGAAATGATCGATGACGAATTATTAGAACAATTGTTGGAGGATGAGGAATTGGAAAAATCTGATACCAAGGAATTACAAGAATCTGTGGAAGAGGAAACCTATGATGATTATACAAATGAAACAAGAAATAATTACGATTATCAAGATGGATTTTCATCAGAAGTACAAAACAAAACAATTTTGGAAATTTTACAATCATTCTTTGATACAGATTATCCACTCCCTCCTTTAGCTTTTGTAGATGAAAATAATGATCAATTCTATGTACCATTTCCAACACTAGAACAGTTAAAATTAACCTTCCGAGCTATGAATTGTATATATTTATTCACTTTTTTGTCAAAATATTGCATTGATAGAGAAAATTTCAAAAGAGAATTTTTACATCATCTTCAATCATTACCTGTTAAACACAAAGGATTCATATCTGAGCATGTCGATATTATATTCCATGATATTGCACAACAGGTTTTATTGAGAGCACCTAGATCACTTTTAGAAATTCAAAATGATACAAATTCAAAACCAAAATTTTTATCACTTGGAGACGAAGTACTAGATTCACTATTCGAAACACCAATAAGTAAGAAGGATTGCATCTTTGGAATTCCTTTCAAGGAAACAAGTGGAGGATTTGTTGTTGAATTATCAGGTGTGGCAGGTAGTGGTAAAACTCAATTAGCTCTCCAATTATGTTTACAATCAGTTTTACCAGAAGAATTTGGAGGTTTAAATTCTAAATCTATTTATTTATTTTCTGAACAAAATCCTGTAGAGAGATTGGATGAAATGGCACAAGCCAGAGCTAGACAATGTAATGAGTATTACAAACAACATAATATTGACAAGACTATTGAAACATCATACCTTTTAGATAATATAATACAGAAAAAGGTTGTGACTAAAGAAGAATTAGATGAAGTATTGGTTAGAAAGAATCATCACTCAATGACCATGTTGGAGAATGAAATTGAAAAGAGAGGTATAAAGGTTGTTGTATTGGATTCTATGGGTATGCTGTATAGAGATTCATCTGCCAATTCAACAATAGAAAGAGCTGGATCTTTACAGAATCAGATACAAGCCATGAAATATTTAGCAACCAAATATAGAGTATTATTTGTAGTTTTGAATCAAGTAACATCATTCTTCCAAGAAGAAAATGAAGCTACGAAAAGATATCATCAATCTCATAGAAATGAAAGTCTTAATAATGAAGAAGCTCATAGTTCATACATTTATAATATGCCTAAGGAAATACATAGAGATGAAGAAGAGGATAATGATGAGGATGATTTTATGATTGGAGACATTTCAAAAGTGAGATCTTACTTTAGAGTAACACCAAGTGAAATTACTAGACCATCCCTAGGACTCTATTGGTCTACACTTATTGATATTCGTCTTTTCATAACCAAACTCAATAGAAGAGATATTGTTATTGGTTCCAAGAAGAATTTAGGTATGCCAGAAAAGAAGCAAAAAACCGATTCTGACAATAAGATAATTTATCTACGAGATTATGAAACAACAATTCCACAATTTGAAAATTCTGATACATCCAGACAGTTGCATGTCATTTATTCACATTTTCTCACAACGTAGGTCATTCATCATTGATTCCTTTGGAGTTAAAGGATTGTAAATTATAGAATATATTGTAAATAAAATTCGTAGATACTGTAATTCGTAGTATTTCCAATTCTGCAAAATATCTTTTGTATCGTTAACAATGTTGCATCTCAAGTGAGACGGAGCTTTAAATGAAACTAATCGTTGAGGATACATCTTTAAATGAATAAATTCACATAGTTAGAATCGAAAGGATTCGTTAACGAATAAATGGACCTTTCAATCCTAATACCAATTCAACAATTTATTGCAGAATTTCACATTTTTCCAATAGACTCAATCCTCAACAAATAAATTGCACATGGCATAAAATTGTCTTTCAAATAACCAAAACCCACATGCCCTTTATTCATTTGTATTGCAGTAATTGCAACAACAGTTGTGTAGCTACAGAATGTATATATGGACAACATCTGAACTTTAACAAATAAATCCAATAAGTCTTTTATCTTTTTCACAAGCACACCTGTTGTGTGAATTTTGTTGATCATCTACGGCCCAATAAAAAAGCTTAATTGTAATACACGGAAAACCCGGAATTTCAAAGAAATGCAATTGGCGCCACTAACAAAACAAATCAAAAATGTATTTTTAGTTGAAAGGCAAAACTATTTTTAATTTTATGAAGGTTCAAGGCTAGAAAACAATCGGTTAAAAATCTTTAAAACGCTCCAGTGGGATTTATCTATTTTGAAAGAAATAATTTGCATTGAAACCTCCTCTTTGCAAAGAACACAAATATATTCGACATAACCTGCTGTTCAGCGATCACACCACTCAAACAAAGATACCACTTTTTACTCTCGGCAAAGCCCTGATAAATCACAATCACCCATATAATTAATCATTCAACCTGTTTATTTATATATTACTTCTTTGAAAGTATTCTATCAACGTTAAAAGTGTGTTAACCTGCCCATCATTGTCGAAATTATATTTGGTTCTTTACAAGTAGAGAGAGAATTCAATCTTATTAAACCCAACAACAAACAACTCCACAAATAATCTAACAATATGCAACAACCTCGTCGTTCGTTATCAGCATCTAATATTACTAATTCATCCAATAATAATAATAATAATACTACGAATACTAACAATGGATCTTCTACTACACCAGTTGTAGAATCTGTTCACGATAAGAGAATTAATTATCATGAGTTGATGCAAATGTTAGGCACCGAAAATTTACAACATGCTAGTTTAATGATGGGAGCTTCTCATATGCACCCAAATACTGTTGATCCAACAACACCATTATCTGCAAATAGTCATCACCACTTGGCATCTTTTGTTCATCCTAATGCTACAACTCAAATGTCCACTACACAATTACTTTTGGAAGAGTTGAATAATGCTGTTGATCATACTCATCATCAAGCCACTCTTCAAATGTTAGCCTCTGGTCAAACAAATAATGTAGAATCTAATAATACTACAACAAGTACAAGTGGTAATTCTATTGTAAATAATGCTGCTTTATTATCAGCAGCTGCTGGTCATCATCCATATCATTACTATCCAAGTCAATATTCTCCATATTTATATCATCCTTTGAGTCATCCAATTCACCCAATTCATTTCTCAAGCCATACTCCATTAGCTGCTTTGTACGATCAAAGCGCTGCTGCTGCTGTACTCTTACAGCAACAACAACAATTGTTAAATCATTCACATCTCCAACATTCCCTTCCAACTGCTAGCTCTACAACTACCACCACAGCTCAACAACTCTCACTTAACAATCCTGCTACAGTCATCACACAATCATCTACAAATTCTAACAATAATACTGTTAGTAATGTTCAAACTAATACTGCCACTACAACAAGTCAAAATGTACAAAATACCAATGCAAATAATACTGAAGATGAAGAAATTGAAGATGATAGTGATTCTAAACCAATGGATTGTAAAAAGGAAGGTGATAATACTTCAGAATGTGAAGAGAATCGTGAATGGTCAAATTGTCATGTTAATAGAGATTTTCTTGATTCTTCAAATGTTCAAGTTAATATTTATTTAGAAACAAGAGATTCTGGTCCAAGAAATGATTCTATTGTAGAAAGTGAATTGTATAGCTCTATCAAATATGAGATGAGACATGAAATTAAGTGTCTTAAATTTTTGAACGAATCTGATAATGATCTCCAACTCTTCTGTCGTGTACAAATCATTCACCCAGATAATAAGAATGAAGTTTTAAAGAACGGTAAGACTATTCTGGGAGGTGTTGTAGAATCCAACGTTTCAAAGGGAAATGCTAACGAAAATATTGCTTCAACAAGTATGAAGATTAAGTTCACAGATTGTAGTTATCATCATGGTAATTGTAAATTTGCTTTCAGAGTTTCCTACTTTATTGAATCTGATTTGGATAACCCAATCCTCATTAAGGAATCTGCTTCCTTCAAGGTTTTAGCCAGAAAACCATCTAAGAACAAGACTAAGAAACAAGCTTCCAAAAGAAAGAGAAAGGAAGAAGAAGCTGCAGAAATTAATACAGTTACCACAACAACAACACCTCAATCAAGCCCACAAAAGGTTAAGATTTCCAGTTTTGATGACTTTAAACAAGTTACAACAAGTGTTTTTGATTATATTCAAACAAACACAGACGAGCAAAAGAAGAGACAAATGATTAATTATGTCATCACCAAATTGTACTCAGTTGATCCTAACATTATGTTTAGTTTACCGACTGATGATGGTGCCAATGACATTTTCAAAGGTCTTTTATAAAAAAATTAAAAAAAATACAAAATTATAATTTATTTAAAAATCTAAAATTCTTTCTTTTGGTTGCACTTTGTCGAACTTGTGGAATAGATCAACATTTCTTGACCTAGATCTATTCACTAAATAACCAACGGCATTATTATAAAACGAAAGTTGTCCATCAGCCTTGGTACGAATCAAATCTCTTGAAATAAGATTCTCAATGATGACTTGTAATGGTTTGTTTTCATATCCAATACATATTGAGGCTTCACTGATGGTACATTCTCCTCCATTCTTTGACATGTAATATAAAAGATTCCAAACGGCAAATGCTTCCTTATTATTGGGTATTTGACCTAGCTCTAGACCTCTTAAATTTTGTTTTACAAATTTCACAAAGTGTTGAATAATTTCTTCGTTTGATAAATTCATTTTCAATTCTTTAGAAACATCAAGTATTGTTTTAAGATGATCCCCACAAATATCATTTACCAAAATTTCAGCATTTTCACGTGATGTTGATTGAGAGAGGTATGAAATGGCATCCAATTTCTTGATTCCAGGCAAATAATAAATGTTACTAATAGCATAACGACCAGATGAAGATTGTACATGCTTCATTCCTTCCTCATTTGTGAATAAAACACTTCCAAACCAATTATTAGTCGATCCTTCTTTACAAAGCTCAATCAAATCAGGTAAGAGATTAAATTCTACACTTTCATTATTCTTTTTAACAAGAGTATCCACTCCATCAAATATAAAATATGGAACTAATTCTTCATCTTTCATCTTTGAAGTTATTGATTTCAATACATGAGTCATTTCAGAAAATGTTGGTTTTGAAGGTCTAACAATTTCCAAAAAACTTCTTACAATATACTTGTGAAGAGGTAGATCATTTCTATTCATGAATGGATAATACCTCACTGCTTTTGCAATTTCTTCCACAATTTGAATTTCTTTCATATCTCTTTGGAATTGAATGTGAATACAGGACTTTCCAATCTTTTTAGAAAGTTCCTTTGAAATATTTGACTTTCCATCTCCCTTTCTTCCAACTACCAATATATATGAAGGTGCAATTTCTCTATCATGATTAGTACTAATTAAACTTTCCAAATTCTTTACTTCTTCCTCTCGAGAAATCCACAAATGGTGATGATTTAATGAAGGGGATCTATGATTCTCATTATTGTCAGTATTCCTAGAACCATCTTTAATCCATTCAATACTCTTCTTTTCTGCTACAATATCTTGATAATTTACACTAGTAATTGCAATAGTCGTTAATACTCCATAAGTTAACCATTTCTTCATATATACACTAAATGTTTTAGATGATTTCTTCTTTCCATCACCGCCACCTCCACCTCCATCAGAGGATTTATTGGATTTACTTGATTTTTCTTCGGAATTACTTTTTCCACTATTATTATTTGTACTTGTTGAATTATTTGTTTGATTATTATTTAATAATATCGGAGAAGCCTTTTCTTCATCATGTAAAGATAAAGTCAGAGAGAAGGAACGATGATTATTGATTAATTCAATAAATTGTGGCAATAATGAAGGCTTTGAAAGTTGATTGTTGATTAATGTATTATTAAAAGTGTTATTTCTTTTAGAAAGTTGAAAACTCTTCCCAATAATTGATTTGATCATTTTTTTTTAAATATTTATGCTTTTTGATTTGCTTTACAAAAACAATTTCCAATCAATTTAGGAATAGACTTGATTGAATATGTTATTACCTATTCACTAGAGCAATTCAACATGTTGTATCGATCATACAGTTCATTACTTAAAACCAGAGATCAAATCATTGCTGATAAAAAGCTCTCTCTATGGTTCATAATTGGACAGACCAAGGTTAATCGTTTCGGTCTTTACACATTGCTTAATCACAAGACAACATTGGAACAAAACAGAGTTTCTATTGAGAAAAAACTGAATTCAATAATTCATGTACTAGCTAATTTATGTAATGAGGAAAGAGTAAGGCAACTTAAACATCACAGTGCACACATTCTCTTTCTTGAAGATTATTTTGAAACTCTATTAGATTGTATCAAGATTCATCGTAAACTGGATGAGAATTCAGCATCAAAGGTATTTTTAGAGATGTATAGTGTTTTTGGTCATTTTCAATACCGTACCTTTGATAATATTGGAACTCTTGATTTTAATGAAGAACAACTTACTGAGATTGGTGATTCAATTATATTTGAATTTTACTCTTCCAACTTGAAGATTGAGGAGCAACCCATTAAACCAATCAAAGAAACAGAACTATTTATTGACCTTCCAGATGAAATTAAGCAATTCTACAAGGTAATCAAATTCATTGGAAGTGGTACAAATGGGATCGTATATGAAATAGAGCACAAGTTCTTTAAGGAAAGAAAGGCTTTGAAACAATATAGACAACTCCCAACAATTGAGGATCTTGAGTACAAAATTGTAAGTATTATTATTGAATGTTCTACAATTATCTGGAATTCAAAAAAGAAAAAACTGCAAACCATTCCACAACCATCTCACGTTCTTCGTATTGAAAAGTATGACTATAGATATATTGAAGATCATTACAAGGTGGAAATGATTAGCCCACTTCTACAAATGTCATTACTTGGTTTCATTCCCATTCTCAAATCTGATTCCAATCAACGTGATGCTCTATTGGGACAAATTGTGGTACAAAACTTGAAAGGCTTAAAATCCATACATGATATTGAGCTATCTCATAACGATATCAAAGAGGCAAATATTCTGGTAAGCTATTACAAACCAGATGTCTATGTTTGTTTGTCAGATTTTGAATTGGTAGATGACTCTGCCAGTGGAAGTATTTCAAGTTTATTTGGTACAAAGCTCTATTTACCTCCAGAAACATTGAAAAAGAATCACAAATCTACTAAACTAGATATATGGAGCTTGGGAGTTACATTTTTCAACATAATGTGTCAAATATGGGATATTGACCCTCTTGCAACCTTTACAGATGCAACAGATGTTTGTGTTACAAATGGCTTTATTTGTTTGGGTTATATACCATCTCATGAGCTGCTCAATCAATATTTGAATAACACATTTAGAGGTTATTCAAATCATTTCATGACCACAATCATCAAAAAGCTACTCGTTTTTGACCATCTTGCCAGACCAACATCCACAGCAATGCTTGAGTTCATTTCCAAAAGATATGGAATGAAGTAAACAACATGGAGCAAAATGATTAATTACCTAATAACAATTACTTGATTATCAAATTTTGTTGAGCTATATTACTAATTGAACATCATAACGACAGATGGTTACCCAATATTCTCCTTCCATAAAACAAATACTGATTTGTTTGGCATTTGGTGGAATTCTTGTTTTCATTACTTGAAATTCTCCCACTTTTACAAGTGGAATGTACTGCCCATCATAACTAAAATATAAATCTCTTCCTTGAGGATTTTTTAACACAAATGTCCATTCCTTATCAGAATCTAATCTCTTTTGTAATGGATGGAGAATTCCAACTCGTGCATCTTCCATTCCCTTATATTTAGTAACAAAGACATCATTAATCGTTACCTTCCTTGTTTTAATCTCATATGATGTGACGCACATCTTATCCAAATACAGATATAGACGGTAGGCCTTATCAGCTTGTGGAATAATGTAATGAATATTGGCAGTACTGGATTCATACAGACAAAAGTTTTGTCTGCAATTGAATTTCCACTCAAATCTTTTAAATCAGCATCCCAATTCAAGTTTGGATTGGCTTGAAGAACCAAAATTCCTCTGTTTGTATCTTGTAAAAGAATACTCTTTTTCTTGTTTGAAATAATAGTCAATCCATTATTAATACCATGTTGAGTAATTACAGGTAGTTCATAATACTCATCTGGAGTTACTGTTTTTTCTAAAAATTGCCATTTATCATTGTCAGGTAAGTGAGTAGATATTAGAGTTTTTGGATTGACAAAGAAGTAGTTTGGATTAAAATGTCTTTCGAATATACCTGATGAAGTAAATCCAGCTCCCCAAGTACAATCTAATAGAAAGTATTGACCATTTTCTAATTGAACAGCACTCCATGCATGAGATCCTACATTTCCATCTACTGATTTAGATCTACCATTAATTTTAACTGTTGAAGGAACATCACATTGAAACATCATTGCTTGAAATAAGGCAGCATATCCTCCACATACACCCTTTCTTTCTTTAAATGTTTTGATTGGATCATTGTGATATGAATTGGTTCTTGCTGAATAAACATCATAGGCAATATTATGGGTGATCCATGCATAGATAACTTTTGCTTTGTCTTCCACATTTGTGAAAGGTTCAGTCAAATATTTTGCTAATTCAGAATAACTTGATAGGTATTTTTGTGGAATATCCTTAATTCTAAAGAGGGCCCTAAAGAAATCCTTTGGTTTATAATCTCTAATAATACCATTATAAACAGTATCATACGTTTTAACTTCATCTTCAAATTTTTCACTTTCATTGTCTTTCACTAATATTGGAGCAACGTGCTGACTCTTTGAATTTCTTTGCAGAATATCACTAAAGAGACTGTTTCCTTCTTTTTTCTGAAGTATGGAAGTTAAGGGATCAGTTGATGTGGGATTAGATTTGGTCTTTTTAGAGGAAGTACATTCCTCTTCTAAAGATCTCTTTGAAGTGTTATTATTATTGGAAGTGTCTAGTGAAGATTTCTTCTATTAAATTCTAAGAAAGAGATTAACTTACAATCAAATGAAATATAGACATTCTCTTGTTTTCCAGTAGCTTCATTAATTGCATTCACATAAATAATTGTAGCTCCAAACATAAAGTTAACAGTGACAGTCCTCTTTTCAATTGGTAAATGCAAACAATCCGAAATATCAATACTAATTGAGGCTAATATTTCAACATCTTTTTCATCTGCATATTTAGGATTACTTTTCTTTGTTTGTAAAATATTAAAATTAATTACAGTTTGATCAACTGTTGTTGGAGGAGCACTTAATGATTTGATTTGATTCGTGTCAATTTCCTCACCTATTTTAACTATTTCTAAAAAGCAATCTTTGCACATAACTTCCTTATTAAAATTAATAATTTTTCTCGATGTATCATGAATAGCAGGATTGAATGGTGCATTCACAGATAACCCGTAAGTAAATGTAGAAACTCTTGTTTTGATAATATTTTGATTGAGTCCATAATAGACAGCACCTCTTACAATTGCAGTCTGAGGATTTGTAACAACTGCTACTTGCTTATTCTTACTAGAATTCTTAATTTCATCGACAACTACTTTTGCCTCTGCCATACCTCCAGCTAGATAAATATAGTCAATTGCTATATTATTCTTTGATAATTGTGTTATGATTTCATTGATAGTAGAAGTAATATTTTGTAAAATTTTCATATAAAAGCTGAAAAGTATTTGAAATGAAATTTTGATTCCATACTTTCTCTGAAGAGAATCAACTTGTTTGGTTTTGGTTCTTTCCTTGTATTCTTCAATTCTTTTTACAATAGAATATTTGATTTGGTCATGATTGAGTGAAAGATTACCATTCTTGTCTTTGTAGTCTCTTGGATCAAAGTCTTTAGCAAAACAAACTTTCAAGTCTTCTATATTTGCTGTTAAATCGAAATAGTCACCATTTTCTTTAAATTTATATGAAGTAAAATCAAACTTCAAAACTTCTTGCATAAATTCGAATAGAGATCGGTCAATGTTTCGTCCACCCCAAGCTCCTCCTCTTGCTTCTAATTTACTCTCTAATCTTTTTTCTTTTGTATTCAATTTATGTACACTAATGTCAACTGTTCCTCCCCCAATATCCACAATCATTGCAGTTTTACTTTGATTGGCAATTTCAGGATTTTCTTGCCACAAAGTAATTGAAGCACATTCAGGTTCAAGTGCTTCAATGATAAATTTTTCTTCTATTTGGCCATATTCTCTCATGGCATTCCTCATTATACTCTTAGCTTTCCATGTCCAGATTGCTGGTACAGTTAAAACCCACATAATATCTTTCTTTTGTACTGTTTTGATGCTTTTACTGGAAATTTCTTCCACAGTCCGATCTACTAGATATTTCAATGTTTCTCCAATCACTTGAGTGAGTGGTTTTGTTTTACCGTTATGAGCAATGCATACATCATCTCTCTCATTTCCACTTGAGTTGTTATGAAGAAGCATTTTAAAATGTTCGAACACTAATACATCTGAATGGAAGGATTCTTCATCCTCGAATTTCTTCTTAACTTGATCACCAAAGGCAACACATTGTTGTCCTTTAGGTTTCATTACATCTAAAGCAACAATAGTTTTGGTTTTGGGCTTGTTCTTATCTAACTGGAATAGTACAATGTCAAAATGAGAGTTTGAAGTTGTTGGTGTTTTTGCGTAGGCAACTGCGGTGTTGCTGGTACCAAAATCAATGGCAGCAACATGTGTTGGTGTATTAGATGAAGACATTTTTTGTTTTTGTGTTGGGATTGATGTGTTGGAATTGAGAAAGGTTATTAGCATTAGAATTCAACCGTGCGATATGGAAAGATGGCATGTCCAAAACAGACAACAACTAAAAAAATGTCTGAAAATAACCCACAAGAAATGATTGAACAGGTTACTTTAAACCATCATGATGATGAAGAGAAACCAACCACAGCCAGCGAAGACTCATGTATGGATGAAGTAACTCATTCTTGTGATGATGGTGAAGGAGATCAACCGGAAAAGCAAGTTAAAGTTGCCGAGAGTTTGGAAAGTAATCTTGAATCTGTGGAGGTTGTCAATCATGATACTACTTTTCCACAACATGATGAATCTGGTGAGCAGCATAATGAAGAGCCAATAGTGGAGGAAGAGGTTGATCAGGAGTTGCAGGCAATTAATGAGCTGAAGAGGAAAATCAATCAAGCTCATGAGCTGGTTGCTGAACATGCCAATCAAATGGAAAGGGCATTGAAGAAAAGGAGAGAACGAGATGCACTTTTGACATCTCCAATTCCACTTCCTCAAGAAGTAATCAAATACTTTGAGAGGTACAAAAGCCAAACTCTTGCAGCTTGGTTGGAAGATAACACGGATCTGGATCTGGATACACTTGTAGATCTTCACATTGATATTTTTGGAGCTATAGAAAGGAAATTTTCTGCAATGATGAATGAAGCAAGCAAAAGTAATGTCTTTAACTATGTCAAGTCAATATCCTCAACAGCAGAAACAAGAGTGAATGAAATACTATACATGTACATTCCCAAAATGATTGAAAACTTTCAAATGAATGATGAACCACAAATGGAGACCTATCTTGCAGAAAAAAAGTTAAAATTTTGGTGTAACTCAAATTTAGAAAGAGTGGAGTTCTTTAAACATTTTCTATCGATGAAACTTGTTGCCAAGCCAATGCATTTTGATTTTCAGCTTCCTCAAGAATTGGAAGTAAGCAAAATTGATCAAAAAATACATTTACAAAATCACTTGGATTTACAATCTGGAAAAATAGATAAAGTGATTCTACCACGTTTGGTATTTGATGAGGATGGAAGTACAGCCTTGGAAGGATTATACTTGGTTAAATAAATCAAAAAATTTAATTATCATCCATTACTAATTGTTGAATATATTGCTGATAGTATCTCCATGCAATAACAATCATTACTATTAGCATTATAATTACAATAACTTCAACAATTAATAAATTAGTCTCAAATTGGTTGGGCCATAAAAATTCATTATTAATAAGTTTATCAAATTCTAATGTTCCTATATAATTCCGAGCCTTTTCAAATAATTCCAAATACTTTGAAAGAAGAGTTGATGAGGTTGCTATCACATCATTCCAAGACATTTTTTTTAATTTTTAATTTTATTACAACTCTTCAGTATCAAGATCATCGTCATCATGCTTTAGAGTCTTTATGAATCCAGAAATGTCACTCGAGTAGGCAGTTCCTGGTCTTGAGTTTGGAGTAAGATTTTGCTTAAATGCTGAAATGTCAAAGTCATCAGAACCTGGCAAATCAATGCTACTGTCATTGTTTCTATTAATATTGTCAAGCTTACTTGGTCGTTTCTTATTATTCATTCCATCCCACATATTGTTCAAGCTCTTGAACTTATTTCCCAAAGCTTGGTTCGAAAGGTTTCCACCTCTACTTAACTCTTCATCGCTATCATCACTACTTTCAATTTTAACCTTCGAGACTTTGCTCACAACCCTTACAACAGCATGTTCTTCTTCGCTTTCTGATTCCAATTCCATTTGTTTCTTTACATTGGATTCACTCTTAGTATTTACATTTTGTTTTGGTGGAATTTCTTCATCTGACTCAGGAGCAACGAAAGTTTGAATGAGATTCTGACTACTAGGTTTTGGTACTTCCTCTTCTTCCTCCTCTATTTCCTCATAATCATCATCGTGGTCATTATCTTCCTCTTCTACGACTTGATTGGTTGGCTTTGAAACAGATTGAGCAACTTGTCTTGGAGGTTCTATATCTTCGGTTTCAGTTTCATACTCAGTCGAATATTCACTTTCTTCACCTCCGCCTCCTCCGTTTCCTCCCTGAGCACCAACAACCTCATACATAGTAGATCCCTCATCATGCTCATCAGCAGTCACATCATCAAATTCTGCCTCAATAATTTTGGTGTTATTCAAGCTTCTGTCGCTCTTCAAAGTGGATTGTAATGTGTTTGATTGTTTTGTATCATTCATTGTTGATTTGAGAGTATTCATTTGCTCTGATGGTTTCTTAGTTTCAACTCGGGGTTGATTGTCTTCTGGATTCTTTACGGTTTTCTTTGCATCCATTTCCATTTTTTTAGCTTGAGCCTCAAGGGCAATTGTAATAGCTTTCATCTTTGGTTCTGGTTTTTCAGGGATTTTAACTTTTGGAATATCATTGGCTGGGTCCTCGTCTGCATTGCTAAACTTTCGTCTGGGCGATTCAGCATTACTTATTCTTCTTCTCGGTGATTCAGCATTGCTCTTTCTTCGTCTTGGAGATTCTTGTTGATTTTCTGTTGGGTTTACTCTCCTAATAGCATCATAGTCATTAATTTTTTGTAATTTGTTAATAAAATCGTTGAGTGTAGGATCATGGGAGAAAGAAACTCTATTACCTTGCTGGGAATCACCATTTAATCTATCCAAAGCAATCTTGTCAACTTGTTCTCTTAATGCGTTCATAATGACCAGGTGATCCGGGTTGTTATTTACAGTATTTCCTCTGGATTTTTGGAGTACCTGTAAACCTCTCAAATACTCATTCTCAGTTATTCCTGATTGGCTAGGATCCACCCCCAATGTTCTCATCTCGTGATCAAATACTTGGTCTGTTTCAGAGTTTTGCACTTTGACAAATTTTGGATTTTGCTTGTACTTTGCTTTCAACCAAGGTTTATCTTCATAGTGTTGATATGCAATTGATTCATCAAGCTCATCAAAAATCTTTCCTAATTTCAATTCTTTGTAGATACGTTCTCGTAATCCTAGATTTGAATTATCCGAAGTCATGCTTGTGTCTGTTGAAGAGTAATCTGAGCTATCAGTTGTTGTTTCAGAAATAAAACTTTCTTGTTCTGGTGTTTGTGGCTTAGGTGGAGGTGGTGTTTTAACTCTTGGAGGAGTTTCAACTCGTTGAACTGGTTTTTCCACTGGTTTAGGTCTAGCCATCACTGGAGTTTTTGGTCGTTCTACTACTGGCTCTGGTTCAGGTTTTGGTTTTACAACAACAGGGGTCTTTGGTCTTGGAGGATCAACTTTTGGTTCTGGTTTAGGTTCAGGTTTTGGAGGCTCTTTTGGCTTAGCCTTAACTACAGTAACAATTTCTTCTTTTGGAGGTTCTTTCTTCACAACTTTTCGAACAACAGTCTCAACTATTGGCTCTGGTTTTTTGTTAACATTTCTCATTATATCATCTAACTTCCTTCTCATTTCGTTCAGTTCGGCACTGTTATCTACCTGAGTTGTTTGCTTGGCTGAAGCTGATAAATCATTCATCTTCCTGTCAAATGAGCTCATCAATAATTGGTTATTTTGCTGTATCAAGTTTTGGAGATGTGAAGAAAATTTCATAAAGTCATCCGGAGAGTTTCCTGATCCATTGCTACCTTCTTCTGAGTACTTAGATATTGATTTACTCAATGCTGAATAGAGATTATCCTGTTGATATTTACAGCTGTCCGTGAATTTTTCAAATTCTTTCTGGAATTGATCTAATCTCTTTTGATTTTCTTTTTCCAATAATTTTTGTTTCTTCTCTATGGTATCTTCAAGTTGAGAAAAAAGATTTTCTTGAAGCCTTCTAATTTCACCTCTCAATTCTCCAAATGTTTCTTCTTTATCAGATCTTGAGCTTGATGTCACAACAACTTGCTGAGGTTGAGGTTGTGGTTGGTTTTGTGACATTAATAATATTTTTGCCTTTTCAGGATTAGCACCAAATACGCATTCATAAGCATATAATGCTTTCTTTTTTCTCTTTAGCTCTTTTTTCAAATAGTTAATCTCCTCTGTTTTTTTGGCCAGATTAGATTTATATTCTTCCGAGTCACCTATAATTGTTTTTACATTTGACTCTACTTCTTTTCTTTGTATTGTTAGGTGATTCTGTCTATTAAATACTTACTTCTTCACCGATAAATAGTTCTGAACGTACAGCAAATACTCAATTATTAATTGAGATAGTCTGAATACTTGAACAAAATTCGTTTCATTGAAATATCGTAAATCATTAAAGTCAACTCTCGCAAAGGTTAAATTCTTTGTAATACTTTCCAAAGTGTCAATATCAACTTTATCCATAATTTTCTCCAAGTTTAAAGAAAGTAAAACTCTCCAATTCAAGGTTTCTCTTCTTGGTTTGAAATAAAATTTTCCATTGTTTTGATCGTAGCTGTAGTCACCATCTGATGAATATGTTGATGCTGGTTGAGGTACTGCATTGTTATATTGATAATTGACTGGTGGTGGATTTGAGTAGTGAGGTGGATAACCACCATAAGAGACATGTTGAGGAGGTGGCGGATAGTATTGCATGTGAGGTGGTGGCGGATAGTAATGTACATTTGGTGATGAATGTCTATCCGTAAGGGAACGTTTGTATTCAACATATTCTTCACTTGTTGGTCTTGATTTTGTTTTGGGCTTTAATGATTTCCTTTTCTTTTTTAATTGTGCCTCATCAATATATTCTACTTCCTCTTGGGTTGTATCGTTTGTTTCCATTGTTTCCTTGGTTGTGCTAGTAATAGGAAATGTTCAGGGATAAAGGTATAGATAACCTAGGTTTGTGTTATTTTGTTTTTTTTAAAGTTTGCTCAAAAATTTGGCGGGAAAAAATTACGATTTTATTTTTATCACAAAGTTAGATATATTTACAAGTTGACCATATATTATTATGATTTTGTTATAATACAAATTATTGTAGGATAGCAATAGATACATAACTAACACTACTATCTTCCATTGATTTAGCAGCACTTGATTGACTATAATTTAAGAATAATGATTCATGGTTCTTCCAATTATTAGATTTCTGTAGTGCATTCAACATGACAAGAATTGGATTCTTTCCACAAATTGTATTCTTGTACTTTTTCATGTAATTGTAGAATTCTTCTGGATTTTTGGAGTGTTCAGTAATTTTAGAAACTCCCAACATGTCTAATTGTTGAATTGACTTTGAAAGAGAAATATCCTTATTAATAACATATTGATAACTAAATCTCTTCCCCCAATGACAGAAATCACTACTAATTACAAATAATGATTCCTCACTATCTAAATAAGGTGTCAAAGATTCAGCCATTCTACTAATTGATTCACTTGATAAATCACCAACCATGATTGGTACAATTTGAATCTGATTCAATTTTTCTCTAAATAAATATGCAATAAAAGGAAATTGTAATTCCAATGAATGTTCATCCTCTTCATTCTTCTTATCTTTCAAATATCCAAATAAATCTGAATACTTGCTTACTAATTCACTTTGAATACTCTTGTTAACTTTCAATGCACCAAGTGGAGTATTACACTGATCACATTTTGACAATACACATTGATCATCCAAGTAAAGTCTATGACAAGGTCCCAAAACAAACACTGTTCTAATCTTATCATAATTTGATGAATTCAATACACAACTGTATCCATGTGCTGATGTAGGAGCTGAATAACGATAACCAGCATGAGGAGAAATGATGGCTTTTACCTTCTTTCCGTGATGAATTGAAGTGCTACTTGTTGATGAAGCCTTCTCCAAATAATCATTCAATTCATGAGAGAGTGCCTCTTTATCATCTTGATACCAAGCTCCTGCAAAAGCATCTCTTCTTGCTATTACCATGATGATGTGATGATGGTGATGGTGATGGTGAGATGATGCTGTTAATTAATATTACTAGAAAGTTTTTAACCGCTATTTACTTGAATGTTCCAATCTAATTTAAAAACGTCCAAATAGTCTCTTTCTTATCGGAAGTATAATGATTCAATTTTTTTAAACTATTAATATTCAAATTGAAAGAATTTGGCATTGATTTTCATTAATTGAACACGTGGATGATACGATCATCACGATTATCTTCAATCAGTTTAAAGTAATTTAATATTTTGTAAAGATTGCTTCCATTCAAGAGAAGAATAAAACGTTCCCGCCAAAATATATCGTTTTTTTCACCATTAAAAAAAATGTCCACCACAACACGAAAAACCTTTCCCTCACAACAGCAACAATCATCATCACATAATGTGACAAGTAAAAATCCACCATCAACCTCATCCTCCACAATAAACTCCACCAACAAACCAAAAAGAAACTTTTCCTTTCCCTATGAAAAACCATATGATATCCAACAACAATATATGGAACAATTATTTGATACTATCCAAAGTGGCAAGGTAGGAATATTCGAATCTCCAACAGGAAGTGGTAAATCATTGAGTTTAATTTGTGGAGCCTTGTCATGGCTCTATGCTCATTATGCAGAAAGAGATGGAATTAGTAATGAAAATAATGATCAACATCAACATCATTATGTAAACTCAACTTGTTTAAAGAGAAAATTGAATAGTGATAATGATGATGAAGAACCTTCATGGGTCACTGAACAAACATTAAAAAGACAAAAGGATGAAGAAGAATTGGAAAGAAAGGAACGATTGGAAAAGAGTAAGAAGAATGTTCAAAAGTATGATGAGAGGAGACAACAATTTCTTGCAGATACCATTCTAAAGGAGAGTGATGATGATTTATTATTGAATGAAGTGGATGTTCTAGATAAGATTGGAATTAATAATGAATTATTAAAGGATTTATATGATGAAGATGATAGTGATGATGAAAGACCAATCTTTTCCACAAGTTATGGTCAAAAGAAAGCAGTTGAGGAGGATAATTTTGAAACACCTAAAATTATATATTGCAGTAGAACACATTCTCAATTGAATCAATTTGTTCAGGAATTGAGAAAGACTGAATTTTCAAAGAAGGTTAGAGTTTCTAATATTGCCTCGAGACAAGTTTTATGTAATAACGAAGATGTGCTCTATAGAAAAACAAAGAATGGAAATATTCAAAATTCTCTCAATGCAATCAATGAGAAATGTCAATATTTGAGAGATAAAAAGGCATGTTCTTATGATAATGATCCCTCACTATTTAAAGATCACATGACTGTTAAGGTACATGATATTGAGGATTTATTGGATTTGGGAAAGAGATTGAAAATTTGTTCTTATTTTGGAACAAGAAAGGCACTTCCTATATCAGAGTTAATTTGCATGCCTTACAATTCACTTATTCATGAACAAACTAGAAAATCACTTGGTATCTCAACATTGAAGGATTGTGTTGTAATTATTGATGAAGCTCACAATTTGATTAATGCTATCCATCAAATGCATTCTGTCGAATTGGACATTACTCAACTTTATTTAGTTAATGAGACACTTAATAGTTATTATACTAAATTCAAGAATAGACTTTCAAGTACCAATCAAACAAATATTAACAGACTATTAACAATTATTAACAATATGATAACCTATCTTAATACTGTAAAGAAACCATCTACTCTTAATATTATTGCAGATGAAGGAACTGGTTCTAATGATATTGGTGGATTTATTGTTTCCATTACTGATCTCGTTTTTGAGACTAAATTAGATAATATTAATTTATTTGATATTGCAGAATTTATAGAAAAGTCAGATTTAACTAAAAAGTTGAACATGTTCATGGAAAGACAAGACTCTAATAATCAAACTGTTACCATTCACAATAACAAGACAGTGAAGAGAAACAATTACTCTGCAAACTATGTACAATACAATGCAACAAAACCCTCAATAGATGTATCTAAAATTATCACACCAGCAACAAGTAATATTGCTGTAAATAATTTTGTCTCACTACTGTTGGCCTTAATGAATGTTGATAAGGATGGAAGAGTTTTTGTTCGACCACAACAAAAGATTAAATTCCTTCTCCTTAATCCTAGTGTATACTTTCAATCTATTTTAAAAGAAGCTAGATCAGTAATTTTAACTGGAGGAACTATGGAACCAATACAACAATTAATACAACAAGTATTTCCCAAAACAGAATCTTCCAAAATTCACATTTATCAATGTGATAAGCACATTGTTCCCCAAAATCATTTCTTACCGATCGCCCTTTCCAAAGGTGTCGACGATATTGTATTAGATTTCACCTTTAAAAACAGACAAAAGAATGATGCCCTAACAAAAAGTTTGGGTAAAATGATAGTGAACTTGTGTAATATTGTTCCTGATGGTGTTGTACTGTTCTTCCCTAGCTACCAATATGAGAAGACAGTATTCGAATACTGGAAGAATAATGGTATAATTGGCCAAATAGAAAAGAAAAAGAAATTCTTGAGAGAGGCAAGCACCAATGAGGAACCCAACTCATCATTGGAAAAAATCTTACAGGAATATAAGAAGATTATTGATCATAATTTTGGAAATTCTGTATCTTCCAACAAACAACAACAACAGCATCAGTAGCATCAGTAGCAGTAGCAGTGGTAGTGGTGGTAGTCTACAGAGATATAATGGAAGTGTTTTGAGTTGTGTTGTGGGAGGTAAACTTTCAGAGGGAATTAACTTTTCAGATGGATATGGTCGATTGATAATTGTCGTTGGAATGCCTTATCCAAATACTACCGATCCTGAATTGGTAGAACAACAGAACTTTTTTGAAAAAACCACCAAAGTCAGTAAGGGAGAATATTTAGACAATCTTTGTATGAATGGAGTTAATCAATCAATTGGAAGAGCAATTAGACATAGTAAGGATTATGCAACTGTTCTTTTATTAGATAAGAGATATCACCAATCGAGATTAACAAACAAACTCTCAAAGTGGATAAGAAAAGGCGTTCAAATTCAAGATTCATTTGGAAAGAGTGTTAACTCTATTGAGCAATTCTTTAAAGAGAAATCAAAATATCAATCAGATATTGAGAAGAGTAGAAAAGATCAATGGATCAAGCTAACAACAACAACACTTAAAAAGTAAATAATTTAGAAATTTATAATTACATTAAGAAGAGTTGCACAAATTGATCAAAGTCAATATTTCCTTCGCCATCTTTATCAACCATGCCAAATAATTGATCAAGCTCAGCATCAGACATGATCATTGATAGACCAATCTTTTTCATTACATTTCTCATTTCTGCCTTGCTAACCTTTCCATCATCATTTGTATCAAATAAAGAGAATGCATCCTTTAATTCTTCTCTTGTGTGAGCAGTACCATAATCAGTTGGAGTAGATTTACTATTCTCTTGAATATAATCCATACCAGATGAAAGAGAAGTGGACATTTGAAGATGTTGAACAGCATTTTGACTATAACCCTTTCTTACTTTTCTAGTATTATTTGTATTTGGAGAATTTGGTACACCAACAAATCCACCACTACTTGGTTGATTTTGTAAAATGACTGGAACCACAGGAGAACTATTTCTTCTTGACCTTGCATCAAGAGATGGCAATTTCAAATTCTCAACAGGTCTTATATAGGTGGTATTTGTATTAAGATTTTGTGTTGGTGAGTCCTGGAATGGTTTAAAAATTGGAATACGTTTCCTTAAAGCATCAAACAAACTAAATCCATCCTTTGTTTCTTTCAAGTTATTCTTACTAAGCACACGTTTAGTAAAATTAACTTTAGGTGGAGAGGCACCATAAGCAGGTGAAAGTGAAGTTGCTCTACTTCTTGTAGAGGCATTAGATTGAGGTGAAATTGGAGCAAGTTGATGATTAGGAGAGGAAGGTGTGGTATTACCACTTCTTGATGAAGGTGAAAAGCTTGGTGGAGAAAGTGTATTTGAATTATAACTTGATGGTGAGTGTCTGGAGGAGGGTGAGGAAGGAGGTGGAATATTACGAGGTGGAGTTCTTTGAAATTGTGTTGTGGAAGGAGAGGTAGGTTTGGTTGGTGAAATTCTTGATGGTGATATTACTTTGGTGGGTGAAGTCTCCACTGTGAATGGGTCTTCGAATGGATTATTAGAGGCTGGAAAATAGAATGCTTCCTCTTGTTCCTCTTGTTCATCTTCTTGTTCGACCATCATCAAGTCAAGGAATTCATCAAAGGTAATGCAACCTTTTGAGCCAGCACTCCGTATGATTTGGTCGACATCATCAATAGTTACATGGTATCCAAGGTCATTGAGAAAGAGTCTTAATTCCGCATGTCTGTTTTACATGTTCAAATGTTTTTCAAGGATTTAATAGTGATGATCATGGAGATGATAAGGCTTGTGTTAATAAAATTGAATAGTACATTGAAACATACCTAATAAAACCATCATTATCTCTGTCGAATACTGAGAAGATATTCTTCATCATTTCATAGGATTGATATTTCATTGCACCAGAGTGATGATAGGATGATGATGTTGGTGCAACAACTGAAGAGGATGATGATGATGATTTGAGGTAGGAGTTATTTTCAGGTGAAGATGGCCCAATAGAAGGAAGAAAACAAGTATCTCCAACTTCACTTCTAATATCCTTAACTCGCTTATGCAACATGATTAATTTTGTTACTAAGTTACAATAGAAGGTTTTTTTCACTTTGGTTTATTTGTTGTGATTGGAAGAGTTTTCAAAGAGAAGTGAATTGCGTTGTGATCACACAAAGTGTGACTAGGTCAACTTGCTGTTAGCGAGGTTGCGAAATTCCTGTTTGCAACACAGAATGTTGATCAAGAAGAGGGCAAAGACAGTACATTTTGGGAAGCGGGTTTTCTTGGTTCCTTAAAGAAATTTTCGTAGAACATACCTTAAAATCGATTACACCATCAAAATTAGTGTCCAGTAAATGCAACATGCTATTAGGATAAGGAAATTCTAACAATCCAAATCTAAAGAAACTTACTCTACGATACGGTCTTCTGTAAAATCTTCAGCTAAATCTCCCATACAATATTCGTGAATAATTTCCTTGATTTCCTGCATATATGGTTTAGGAGAGGTGATTCCAGATTTGAATTACTTACTTCGATCTGTATCAGATGAGTTTTCCATTATGGTTTAGAGTGTAAACATGTTTTACAGAGATGTATGACCATTGATGGTTTAAAGTACTTGAATTACTCAGTAAAACATACCTCAATCATTCCGTCCTTATTAACATCGAATATTTCAAACACTTTTCGGTCCATTTCTTCGTCACTTCCGTTCAAAACACTGTCCCTATATGAATCCATAAACACACGAACAAAGTTTTGAAAATCTACCAAATCATTACTCTCTGCTACATTTTTAATCATCGACTGCACTTCAGCATCCGAACTAAATTGATTTAATCGTTTAAGCATGATTTTTAATTCCATAAACGTTATAACACCATCCTGATTTTTATCTATCGAATTGAAAACTTCCCATAAATCCGATATTATTTGATCATCTGATATTGTTACAGGATGATTCCTAGAAATTACTTCTTCAACTTCTTCTTCCGATTCATGATCCGAGTCATCAAATGAAGGCTTCTTCTTTGGCATTTCTTTATATTTTTGAATCTAATTCAAAACAATTTGTAGTTTTTTGGCGCGAAAAAAAACATCCTCATCTTTTCGATTACTACAACTGATTTTGCAGATTCATCACCACTAAAGAAAGGCTCATCCCCAACCATGTAAAACAATACGTATACTTTTATTTACTTTGATTCCCAAGAATAGTCAAGGAACTAAGGGAAGCCAAACAAATCTATTGATGAACTTGTATTAAGGAGACCTATAGAGATATTACATGTAATACCGACCATGATACTTCATTAAAAAGATATCTGCCATATTTCAATTAAGGAAAATATGGGCTACACTCCAAAACGTTGAATGGCGATATATAAAAAGACCTTATAAGACATTAATACAAACACCTTATAAGATGATGTATACATTATCTTGGACCCTTATTGGGGAGGTTTGTTTAAACAATGTTAGGCATTTGAAACAGATTAACTCTCAACACTTCATAATTACTTTCAATATTCTTTTCACTCATTCTACCAAATTCTTAATAACATTGTTTGAATCAGAAACAATCCCATCCATAAAAAGACAGACTTCCAAGCATAACATTCGCCCATTTTAGTGTAGCTTCATCCAAACTAGGATGGACACAGATAGCATTGCTTTTCTTAAATTAAGTAATTTAACTTTCATAAACGATAACACCCTCACTTTACTTGAAAAATAACTACTAACAACTCCAAATCACAACTGAAACCTGCCTACCAATGTCCATGCATCTGAGAATGGATTGAAGAATTCAGAAGATTCTCTATTGGTTCTGGTTAATAATTGTGAATCTTTCAAAATCCACAAGTTATCCTCAATTGGTATGAACCTTGGCTTTTATTATTTGAATGTTTAAATTCCAATTCTAATTATCATTCTTCTTAATTATTTCACATAAATTTTCGATCACAAAATTATTTCAAATTTTAAATAAAAATGGGAGAAAAGCCAAAGAGTATTAGTCTTAAGAGATTTATCGGAAAGAAGAATGCAATCACTGGATTTTTTCAATTAAACAGAATTCATATGAGAAGAGCAGGAATGTCCATTCCAATCTTCTTTTTACTCTACTTGGCCTTTTCCAATCACCCAGAAAGATACAATTATTCATAGAAGAAGACTTTTTATAAAAACAAGGCTTGGCAACATATATTAGAAAGGAAAAACAAGTGATAATCGGAATAAGAAAAATTTACCAGAGAGAAAATTATATCAATTAAACACATCATCACTCCACCCATTAATGAAATATTAAATAGTAATATTAAATAATAACAATAATAATATCAAATTGATATTTGATGATAATAAACTACAATTTTCAATCAATTTGATGATATAAAAAATGCTTTGCAACCTTCGTAGACTTTCAAGAACAACTCTAAAGTTGTCAACAAAACAACAACAACAATATCGTACCATCTTCTCCGTCTCATCTATTCAATATGCCAAGAAGAAGGGTGGTGTTAGTGATGAAGAAATGAGTAGGATTTTAAATTCCGTCAATAAAAGTAAATCATCTGCTGCAGCAAAGGAAGAACAAGAACTTGAAGAATTACAAGCCTTGTTAGAAGATGAAGAAATTTTGACAAAACAAGAAAGAAAACCAAAGGCTACTACTACTTCTACTACTTCAAATAATAATAATAATAATACTAGAAACAAACCACTCGGATCCATAATAGATGAAGATGTTGATATTGATGATGTTGAAATGGATAAAATGTTGAAAGAATTGGGACTTTCTGGAAGATGGGATCAATATAAGGATATGATTAATTCTTTTGATAATGGTACAGGAGGTAATGGAATGAATGAACAACTTATTGAAGATGAAGGTGATTTGAGTTATGAAGATAAGAATGCTTACAAATTATTTGGACAAAATTATATGGATTCATTGAAGAATGAATTTGATAGTCCTGAAATTTTCAACTTTATTAAGAATCAAGCTGATACAAAGGGAGGTGATTTTGCTTCTGCTGCTGCAGCTGCTGCTGTCAACTCTGCATCAAAGAAGGTTGAAAAGACTCCATCCACTGCCAAACCAACAGGTAAATCTGCTACTACTACTACTTCTACTTCTACTACTGCCACACCTGTTGCTAATAATTCTCAAAAGAAATCAACAAGTAATTCAACAACAACAACTAAACTATCAATGGATGATATCAGTAAGATGGATTTGAATATTTCACCTGAAGAAGTTATGAAAGATTTCCAAAATCCAGCCATGAAAAAGATGATGAAACAAGTTCTTGGTGTTGATTCTGAGGAACAATTACAAAAGTTTGAAAGTGATTTGAAAGCCACTCTTGGACAAGGTAAATCTCTTAAGGATATGGAAGATGAACTTGAAAAGGAAATGAAAGAATTGGAATCATTATTTGGTTTCGCTAAGGATTTGGCTAAAGGAAAGAAGAAACCTTCCAAAAAGTAAAAGTACACAAATTTATTATTTTATGATGATGATGTATTATTATTATTATTTGTTTTGACATTGTTCTATAGAATTCACAGCAGCTTCAACATATTGCATCTTTCTTTCCAAGTCGTTTAATTTTTCATTCAATTCCAAGAGTCTCACTCTCATGTTTCTTTCTATTGTTTCATCATTCCGAAATAATTATTTTATGATAAAATTATAAATTATATGATTGATGATGTGATGATGATTTGATGATGAATAAATTATGTAATGATGATAAAAAGTTAGGTTTAGTCTCTAGTGGTGGAAACTTACCGAATTTATTTAAAAATTCTGTTACTTGAAGAATACACAAGGACACATCTTCAACGTAGTCTCTTGTTTTCCAATCGTCCTTGGTGGCTTGTACCATAAAGTTAGACATTTTTTAATGTGAAGTTTGACAGATTTGATTGTTGATCGAACTCAGTTCCAGAGAAAAATTTTAATTTAAAGCTCTTTCTTCTAATAACAAGTAAAATGATTAAGAATTATAAATTTAAATTTATTATCATAATAATAAAAATTGTTACTTCTTTTGAGCAGATAAAATAGATTGTTGACATGCAGCAATTCTAGCAATTGGAATTCTAAAAGGTGAACAACTAACATAAGTTAAACCACAAGTATGAAGGAATTGAACAGAATTCATTTCACCACCATGTTCACCACATAAACCAACTGTTAATTCAGGTTTAACACTTCTACCTTTTTGTACTGCCATTTTAATTAATTGACCAACACCTTCATTATCTAATATTTGGAATGGATCATTTTGAGTCAATTCCATTTCAATATAATCTTTTAAGAATTTTTCAGCATCATCTCTTGAAAAACCAAATGTCATTTGTGTTAAATCATTTGATCCAACACTAAAGAAATCTGAAATGGATGCAATTTCATCTGCTAATAAAGCAGCACGTGGTGTTTCAATCATACATCCAACTCTATATTTAACCTTATTGGATAGAGAAGATGAGGATGAAATAATACGTTGTGCAATACGATCAATAATTTCCTTTTGATGTCTCAATTCTTGAATGGATGAAATTAATGGAATCATAATTTCAACATGAACAATTTCACTTTCACTTTCAATTGCAGCTTCAAATATTGCTTCTGCTTGCATTTGTGTAATTTTAGGTAAAGTAATACCTAATCTACAACCACGATGACCTAACATTGGATTCTTTTCAGTTAATTCTTCAATTCTTCTCTTAATAATATGAATATCTTCATTCAATAAATTAGCTAATTCTTCAATTTCATGTTCTTCATGTGGTAAAAATTCATGAAGTGGTGGATCTAATAAACGAATAGTAACTTTTCTATCACCCATTACATTAAATAAACCAATAAAATCTTGTTTTTGATATTGTTTCAATTTTGTAATTGCATCTTGTCTCTTTTCATCACATGTAGCACAAATCATTCTTCTCATATCCATAATACGAGTCTTTTCAAAGAACATGTGTTCAGTTCTACATAAACCAATACCTTCAGCACCAAATTCTAATGCTCTCTTTGCATCTGATGTTGTATCTGCATTAGCATAAACTCCCATTGTACGATACTTTTTTTCAATTTCCATAATTCTACCAAAATTACCACCTGTAACTGTTGGTTCACTCATTTTCAATGCACCATTAAAAACTAAACCAGTTGAACCTGAAATTGTAATAATATCACCCTCTTTAAAATCAATACCATTAATTGTACAAGTCTTTTCATGTTCATTTACAATTAATGCAGAACAACCACTAACACAACATTTACCATTCTGTCTAGCAACAACTGCTGCATGACTAGTAATACCACCATTTGTTGTAAAAAAACCTTGTGACATTTGCATACCAGCTAAATCTTCAGGTGAAGTTTCAGTTCTCACTAAAATAACATCACCTCTGATTTTTCTTTCTTTTGCCATTTCAATTGCTTGTTCAGATGTAAAGGCAATTCTACCAACTGCAACACCAGGTGATGCTGCTAATCCTCTTGCTAATGGTTCATGTTTTTGAATTTCTTCATCTGTTAAATATTTATGAAGTAATTGATCTAATTGTGATGCATCAATTTTTAAAATTGATTCTTGTTCTGTAATTAAATTTTCATCTAACATGTCACAATAAATTTGTAATGCAGCAGCAGCTGATTTTTTACCATTTCTACATTGTAACATGTATAATTGATTCATTTCAATTGTAAATTCCATATCTTGAATATCCTTATAATGTTTTTCTAATTTGTGTGAAATATTAATTAATTCATTATAACATTGTGGAAATTCAATTGATAAATTTTCAATCTTTTCAGGAGTTCTAACACCTGAAACAACATCTTCACCTTGTGCTTGTGTTAAATATTCACCATAAAACTTATTTTCACCAGTTGATGGATTTCTAGAAAATGAAACACCTGAACATGATCTCTTATCAATATTACCAAATACCATTGTTTGAATATTAACAGCTGTACCTTTCAATCCTCTAATATTATGAATTCTTCTATAATGAATTGCTCTCTTATTTGACCATGATTGAAATACTGCTATTATTGCTTTAAACATTTGTTGTCTTGTATCTTGTGGAAATTCTTCACCTGTCATTTCTCTAATTGTTTCTTTATGATCTTGAACAATTTCTTTAATTTCTTCCAATGTTAAATCAATATCTAATGAAATACCTCTCTTCTTTTTTTGTTTTTGAATATTTTCTTCAAATTTTTCATACTTGACTCCCATCACTACATCACCAAACATTTGAATTAAATTACGATATGAATCCCATACAAATCTTTCATTACCACCAAAATTGGAAATCATTAATTGTAAATTATCATCACACAATCCTAAATTTAAAATTGTATCCATCATACCTGGCATTGATGCTGCTGCACCACTGTTTTTTTTATATTATTATATTATTATATTATATTATTATATATTGGATTGGGTATGGATTGTATGGATGAGTGTTGATTGTGAGTATGATACAATCATTGTATTAAAAAAGTAATATAAAATTAAATGATCGGAATGATGAAAAACAAACCTTCTAACAGAAACTAGTAAAACTCTATCACCTTCTTGTTGAAGAGAACCAAATTTCTTAGCAGCAACTTGTTCTAATTTAGTTAAATATTGATTAACTTCATCAATAATTTGTTGTGGAAGTTGATCTTTAGTAACTTTAGTTTCACCTTCCAATTCAATATTAGAAGCATAATTATTATGTTTGTTAAATAAAACATTGGCTTCAGTTGAAATTGTAAAACCAGGTGGAACAGGAACACCTAAATTACACATTTCACTTAAATTAGCTCCTTTACCACCTAATAAATCTTTCATATTACGATTACCTTCTGTTAAATTTTGACCACTTTTTGGATCAATACCAAAAAAGTAACAAAATTTACTTGGATTGGATGACATTTTTTGTTATTATTAAATGAAATCTTTGCAGTTATTATTGTTGTATTTTTTTTTAAATTGAATCATAAAAAATGTCCCTTTGTAGTTGAAGAAAATAGCGAATATTTGTGCTGGAATCCATTTTGAGCACTGACGATACCAATTGGGAAATCTTGTTAGGTCCTATTTTGGTTTTAATAAAGACCACCTATTGTAAAAAGATGCAGAATTGTTCATAATTGATATGGAATGATGAATTTGTCATTGAAAATATTACAATTGATTGTTGTTTTATTAGGTCTTGAGTAAGGTTGTGGCGAAACTATTACCTCAATTACCTACATCCACAAATGTCAATATATACACATTAATACAACTATTATTATTACAATAACCAGATCAATTGGATAACTTACTAGTCTCTGAGGTGATATGTGGTTCATTGAGGTGAAGAATACATTGATTGAAAGTGTTTACTTATAATACAATGGATAACAATCACCTATTGAATGTATTCTTTTTGGAAGGGATTGATCTATTATTGGCGATATTGTAATTAGTTCATTTCAGGGATTATTTATATCTAAATTTATTGGATAATATAATGACAAGTCACAAGATTCACTACTGAATGTCATCCATATGATTTACTATGGATCATCATCATTCCATATTATTGATGAATCTTCAATATAATACAATTTCAATTCTTCATGGCTGCCGAGATGTAATAAAATAATTTATGAATTTTAAATACACAACATAATTTTATTTCATTACACAATATATAAATTTCTAATAAAAAATAAATAACTAAATAATTCTAATAAATCTGATTGGTAATCAAATTTAATATTTTCTATTTATAGTATGTACTCTTAAATAATAATCAATAATAATTTTAATAAAATTATCACATGATTGATTATCTTTACAAACTGATTGTATTTTTTGTAAATAATCAAATGATAAATTATTTGAACAAAATATTTTAAAATATTCAACAAATTCTTTACAATTATTATTATTTTGTGAAATTGATACTAAATTTAGTAATAAAATAAATTCAGTATCATTAATTTCATTAAATTTTTCAATAATTAAATTACATGTATATTTAATTAACCATGTAATATCTAATTGTTGTGAAATAATTAAAATACCAATTAAATTATTTAAATTTAAATTATTTAATTTATATCCATAACATAATTTAAATATTATTTTTAATATTTCATTAATTTTATTTGAATATTTAAATAAATTAATTATCCATTCATCTGATATCATCATTTCAATAAATTCATATAAATTAATTTCATTAATATTTAAATTTTTAAATAAAATATTTAAAACTGGACTATGAATAGATAATATACTTTTATGTAAATATAATATTTCATTTGAATTTTCATCAATTATAATTTTAATATCATTATTTTCATTATTATTATATAATAATTTTAATGATTCATTTATATTTTTAATATTATTATCAATTCCATTTATAGTAGTAATATTATCAATTTTATAAATAATTTGTTTAAATGATTTTTTAATATTTAATAATTTATCTTTAATAATTTCAAATAATTTTTCTGATTTTAATAATTTTTCATTTTCTTTAATAAATGCTAAACATTTATTTGCTAATAATAATAAAATACTATTTTTAGATTGTTTTAAAATATTTAAAGAAAGATAATTATTAACTTTTTGTAAAATATTCATAATATTATCAATATTAATTCTATTTGATAGATCATTAAATAATAATAATTTAATTTCATTATTAATATCATTTATATCATTTAATATAAATAGACATGTTACTAAATTTAATTCAATTTCATTAAAGGAAATTAATTTTATAAATTTATCATAATTAATAAATAATTCATCTAAATTAGTTAAATTATTTAAATTAATTAATGCATTTTTAATTAAATAATATAATGCTTTTTGATCATTTTCATTTAAATATTCAATTATATTATTATTTGTAATTAAATTATAAAAATCATTGGAAATATTTTTTAATAAATTTAAATTTAAATAAAAATTTGAATTAATTTCATAATTAAAATTAAAATTATCAGTTACAATTAAATTATTAATTTTAAATATTTCATCATTATCTGTTTCATGTATTAAAATAGTAAAATTTTTACCACAACAAATTTGAACATTATCACCTTCCTTAATAGTAAATGGTAATTCAACTTGTTTTAATTCATTAAATTTCTTATTATATCCTAATTCACCAAATTCATTAGATCCAAATGAATAAAATTTATTATCAATAGTTTGTAAAAAACTATGAAATGTACCACTTTCCATATTTATAATATTATCCATTTTAAATAAATTACCATTATAATCAATAAATTTACATTCATTATTATTATTTAAATATAAAATTTGATATTCATTTAAAATTAATTTTTGATATACATTTTCAAAAATAAAATTATTATAAACTTTATTTAAAATAATTTCATTTTTAATTGGATTATAATAATCATTAAATAAAGGAGATAATATATTTGTATTATCATTATAAATAATTATAGTATTAATACCATTACATTGAATATCTTTAATATCTTGTATTTTATTATTATTAATAAATATATTTTTATTTTTATTACATTCTTTTACTATTTTAGTAATATTTGTAAAATTTAAAGTATAAAAATAGTCAACTTGATATTTACCATTTTTTTTATATTCTATAAAAG